TGCCTTAAACTAACAAAAACCCGCCTCTTTGAAAAAGTAGTTTTGGTAAATATTAGCGTTCTGTGTGCAATTGAATGCTGAAAGTATGTACACTTACATGATTTAAGGCAACGAAAGCAATAAAACAACTTTAAATATTTAAAATTAAACACAACACCTGATTAATTACCTAATTTTGACCATTATGGCATGTTTAATGGGACAAGTTTAGTTACAAAAATGCTGATGTAGCTCAATTTTTTTTATTTACTTTTAGATGTTGTTGTGAAAAGTTAGTTATACTTAAAACAAAGAATTAGGGAGTATTTTTTTCTTAAACAAAAAAAAAAAAAAATTGGTCAAATTTACTTAAATTTATTAATATAAAAGTTTACTTTTTTTCTTTCTATTTGTTAAATTAAAAGGAAAGTTACCAAGAAAACAGGAAAAGCAAGTCAGCAACAATTGTAAGAAGAATTTGATGTGGTTAAAGTTTTTTCAGTTTCATTACTGTCAAGTTACGCCCAATTGCTTAACACAATGTGGAACAAAAATAATCCAATGGATGGGAATTTTTATTCAAGTGTAATAAATGGGGGAAGACGAGAAAAGAAGATGAGTGTCGGGGTTGGTGGGAGGAAGTCTTAACAAACAGGTGAGTGGGAGTTTTTTCTTTCTTCCTATAAGTAATTTTATATTTCTTAATTGTTAAAACTTAAACGGATCTCAAAAAGTAAAAGATAATAACTGGATTATTTTATAAGATTTAGGATACAGTTTCTTTGTTGGTAAAAAGTCAATTTTAACAAACAGGAGGAAGAGTTCTTGACAAGATCAGGGAGGGTGGTTTTTTTATTTTTTGAGAAGTATTAAACACCAACTGCTGTGTATTATGGACTTAAAAGTACCACATTTTTTTTCTTTCATTTTTCATCATTCCTGTTTTTTAAATAACAAGTTCAATTAAGTTTGATCAGTTTTTTTCATACGACTTTGGAAAATATGAAGAACTTTAATATTGCAATTAATAAGCAAAGATTTATTAATGTCGAAAACATTCTGAGATATGAAATATGGAACAAACTTATAAAAAAGACCACCATGCCTGAGTTTATTGAAAACCTTTGATATGTCAAGAGCAATAACCTATGCCTTGCCATTTCAAAACAATGAACAATAGAACATATCTAGTAAAGCAGCAAATCAGCTACAGAGCTTGAGTATTAAAATACAAATTAATTGTCAGAGGCTATATTTTTAGGCTCAAGATGAGATATTAAAATTTTGTTAATTGAAGACTCATGAGACCATCCTAATAATAGAAAAAAGAAAAACTTGAGAACAGTTAAAGAGGTCAGAGTGTTCTCTGTACTTTTTTTTAAAAAAAAAGCAATAGCAGATGGTATTTGACAGCATGCAAAAAAACCAGATTCACTTAAGAGTGCATTTATATATGTACTATCAGCATCAAATTGTGTGAAAACTCTCTTTTTTTTGTTTTTAATACTGACTTATTTTAGATTGAAATCTAAGCCAACTTTAGGTCAATTTTTGATAGAGCGTTTTTTGCTGAAATATATATTGTTACTCCACAACATCAAGCATCAGATCTCATTCCAGGTTTGGAAGATTTAATATCCATTTCTCTAATCAACAAAATGCAACCTCAAACTCTGCAGAAATACACACCAAAGTCTACAATTGGTGACGGAGACTGCCATTTCCGGACTGTGTCACTAGCTTTATATGGTGTTGGAGATCATCATTTGTATCTCAGGGATCTCACATCTATTGAGGTGATACAGCACAGAAGTAAGATATACTATTTGTATGGATTAATTAAGTTAATATGGTTTATAAAAATAAAAATTGTTTTACCTGGTCATTCCTCTTATTGGTTTCGAATAAATAATAGTAAGAATCCACAACCGTGGAGAAGTAACTTGCATTTATATCAAAAGCTAGGTAGACTATTATGGAATTCTCCATGATATAAATTGCATGTATGAATGTATAAATTTTTATTTTTAGTTTGCTATGATTTATCATCCAAAAAATATGCACAAACAATCACGGACACCAGAATCGAAACACCAAAGTATCCAGTGTTGTTGCGTTTTGCCGTGTCAATTGGCGGATATAGTAAACTAGTGCATATTTATGCATTAAGTGCTGCTCTTGCAACGCCAATTCGTTCTGTTTTTCCTGCTGATAGCAGTATTTGCGATTTTGCACATTCTTACAATGTAGTTGTTTATGGACGAGGAGTTAAAAAGACATTGGATCCTGAAATTGCAGTACTGTGGACTTGTGAAGAAACAAAAGTATACAACCATATTGTCTATCTTGCCAAGCGTCTACCTGCAAGAGAGATTGACTTCAACATTTTGGATGAAAGTCTATCAGACAGAATCAGGTTGATTAAATAACACAATAAATTATTCTTACAAACAACGTATCTAGGTCAACCAAAATACAAAATAAATATACTTTATTAAAAAACAAACAAGTTATAAGTGAGTAACAATTAATCCAAACATTTTTTTTTCCTTAGAAGCAGTACACCACTAGCCAATGAAAATAATTTCACAATAACTTTTAATGACATAGATATATCAGACAATGAAACTGAGCATTATTTAGATAAAGAAGCAGAAGATGCCAGTGACCAAAATATAATGTCATTGCAAAATGCTAGCAACAGCCCTCAGAGTCTGAAATTTCTAGAAGCTGCTGAAATTATCAAGATATTGGTTACTCCTTCAAAACATATGTTAGAAACAATTCCTAAAGGTACAAAAGAAAATGTTTATTTTCTTGTTAAGAATAAAGAAAATATTCACAGACGTACAAATGTTTTACAAAGCTGCTTTGTCGATGAATGTGGGGCATAGACTGGAACAAGTGGAGCTTCGCCAGTTTTTTTTTACATTCGTCTATTTTCAGGTCATTTTAAAAATGTCATAAAAAGGACTGGAAAATAATGTAAAGCTGTTAAACGTAAAAAAAGGTTTTCTTTTATTGGTTTAGAGCCACAGCCATCGCCTTCTGGAAAGTGACATACACTTCTCCAAGATTAAAAGTTCAATCAACCCCAATGATTGATGGACGAGCACTTGAACACATAGCTTTTGGAAGAAACATGTTTCTTCCAAATAAAGAATTACATTTGGAATCTTTTTCTTTGTCTGCTCTAAACTCTGCACAAAGCGGTGATCATGAAGAACATAACTAACTTGTTGACTATTGTCTGCGAAGTTTTTTTGGTTTTCTTATGTTCTTAATGTCGTGTTTTTCATCTTATTGTAATATTTTTTGCTGCGTATCTGTTTGGAACCCCTTGAAACATCGTTTTCTTCATGTGGAGTCATATCTGGCAGACAAAGTTGGACTAGAAAAAGAAATGCGTCAAGTTGTTATGAATGGTTTGTTTGGAAGTCAAGGTGCAGTGTTGTCAGACAATTCGATAGTATTTGAAGAACAAATTAGGTTTGTCCAAAACATCTGCAAAAACAAAAAAGGAGACAAATTTCAAAAGTATTTAGATAAACGTCTTGTCTCAATACTTAAGGAAATTGTGATGAGACCTCGTCTAACAGAAAAGTCCAAGATAAATAGACAAACAATAATGCCAAATCAACCAATCATATTCTGAAATGTGCAGTTAATTGGAAACCAAAACCACTAATGGAACTAATTACAAAAATTTGGAATCTAGTACAAGTTCAACAAAATGTAAGTGATATGTTAATGCTATTTATAACCTCATAACATACATTGGTAAAATCTTTTTTTGTTTTACAGGATCTGCAGCAAGCTATTACTGGCACAGAACCATTTACTCTGGTATAAGAATATCAATAGCATGTTATTTCTCCACAACAATGGTCACAGATGTCAACTGAAGACAGATATAAGCAGTGAAAAAGTTATTCTATAGAGGATACAATGTTAACATCGACTGACGGAAAACTCAATGTTCCTATGCCCAAGGACAGTAAGAAACCAGGTCAAGTTATTCTAAGATTATTATGGGTTAATTATTCTACAATCATATCGCATATTGTCTTCTCTTATAGCCAAATATTCGAATAGTTTAAGTTTATTACAGTTAATTTGTACGTTATTTCGGGTTAATTCGTTTTTAAGACGCTTTAAGACGCTTTTAAAAAAACAAAACAAAAACAACATATATATATATATATATATATATATATATATATATATATATATATATATATATATATATATATATATATATATATATATATATATATATATATATGTACAAAAACTATATACATATATATATATATATATATATATATATATATATATATATATATATATATATATATATATATATATATATATATATATATATATATATATATATATATATATATATATATGTATATATATATATATATATATATATATATATATATATATATATATATATGTACAAAAACTATATACATATATATATATATATATATATATATATATATATATATATATATATATATATATATATATATATATATTATATATATATATATATATATATATATATATGTACAAAAACTATATACATATATATATATATATATATATATATATATATATATATATATATATATATATATATATATATATGTACAAAAACTATATACATATATATATATATATATATATATATATATATATATATATATATATATATATATATATATATATATATATTATATATATATATATGTACAAAAACTATTTCATCAACTTGCTGCTTTTACGTTTGGGGCAGTGTCGGCCAAATTTTGAGGTTTTTTTTGTTCCCATGCTCTAATCATCGTAATTTTTTGCAAAGCATTCTTATTTTACATAAATAAAAACTTATAAATGTTTGCTGTTTGCTCCATGTCTGGAAGTTAGCTACCTCTAAGACCAAAAAATGCTGGCGCTGCGACTGTGTACAACCATACAAACTAAATTTATATTTAATAACAAATTTAAATATTTATTTAAAACAAAAAGCAATAACAGAGTTTTTCACAATATCGGTTCCGTATAATGCGGATTTTTGCATTTATATTTTTGTTTATAAAATTTAACACTTAAAATCCGCTAAAGGAGCTTTAACAGTTTCGAAGTAAGTTTGTTTTGTCTTCTGCTTTATTACAAATATGCATGTATTTTTAAGATTATTTAAATATGGTTTGACATTATTTTTAAAGTTTTTACGACTGTGGCTAGTAAACAGTGATTCTTTTTTCAAAAGCTTGCTTTCATAAAGATAAAGCAGTCACTTCCTAATACGGACAAAATACTGCCATTTTTCAATGGGCAGGAAATTTATCTGATATAAATTCTATTGTAAATTTGCGTATAATTTTTAGGCAGAGGTATTTTTTGAGGTGTAATAATAATAAAAATAAAAATAGATTCTTTATAAATGTTATTATAAACTAAGCCTTAGTTTATAATAACATTTATAAAGAATCTATTTTTACTTTTAATATTATTACCTTAGTCTAAGGTTGTGATTTTTTTACATTTCCATTTTATATTTTACTTTAATTAAAACAATGAAAAAGTCTAACAACATTATGTTTATATAATAAGATTAAGATATATCTATATATGGTATGCATACAGTAAGTAGCCTAAAGAATTTTATATTTTGCTTGTTGCGCTCTTGTCAGTGAACAGTGGGACAAAGCGGTGCTTTTTGTGCCAAAATTATTTTTTAACTTTTTTAACTAGAGCTGTTAAAAATTAATTACTCAAACCCTATAAAATGAATATCAAGCTCATATTTATTGCTAAAAACTAAAAAATCTATATAGAAAGTTCTTTTTTTAATTACAATTAAAAATAACAAATAATGTTTGTCTTTATTCTAAAATGTAGAATTCCCACAAACAAAAAGTACAAAAAGTACAAAAACACCCTGAGGAAAATTTCTTTTACAGATAAAACAGTTTTTCTAAAAGATGAAATAACTGAATCAGATGTACATAAAAGTCTTTTAATTACATCTTTATTTGTCTTTATTCTTGAATTTATACAGGAATGATGTTCCCTATATTTTTAAAATTCTTTATTTCTAACTTCCTCAGCTTCTTTATTAAATAGACCTTCTTACTTTTGCTCCATGAATTAAAAACTTGTGAAGACTCTGAGGCATGTAATACCAAGGGTACAAGCATGAATAGAGCTTTGCGGTCTCCAGAAAAAATAAGCAATACTTATAAGTATTTATTTGAAATCCACTTAATAGGCAAACTCAGATTATGTGCAGCTTTAAGATTAGTTCTTTGTTTCTCTTTCCTGTAATTTCAGCAAATTCATCTTCATTTGAAAAGGCTTTTTGAGCAGTATTGCTGTCATTTGAATTTTCAGATTCAAAATGTGGTTTTTGGATAGTCAACAATAAGTCCTATTTTTGTTGGAATCCTTTTTGTATATTTTTTTTTATTCTTTAACAAGAGCTTTCTCTATGTCTCCTCTTGCTTTTCATTTTTTGATTGGAATCATGAAATATGAATGAGACACTAAAAAAATCTTATCCATGAATGAAGTGTAGAAAATCCATATTGGATCTCATCCAGTGAATAGAGAATTTTTGTAACTGTTGATATTGTTCATGTCTTTTAGTGAACATCCACATATACAGCAACATTGACTAGGGCTTATTACATTCGATAAGACAGTATGGACTTTGCCATCTATAATTGTAATTTGAATAATATGTTTGACAGAAATAGACTTGCCATTAGATAACTGAACACAAGATTCTACAAGATTAAAGATTTCATTTTATAAAGTAGTTTCTTCAAATAGTAATAAATCTTTTTTTTTTTTTTTTTTTCAAATTTAAATCTTAAAAGTCGGCAATAGAAAGTAGAAAAAGATTATGCATTTCTCCAAATAACAGTTTGAATTTCTCTAATGTAAGTTGTAATCTGAAGTGGAACAAGCCAAACTAGAAATTTTTTTCTTCTTTTTTCAAGTTGGGAAGACTTTCAACAGACATTTTTTGTATTTATATTCTTTGACCAGTATAGCTATCAAAACATGCTTTAAAATCAAGAGATACCAGGTCACAGTTTTCTACCATACATAAAACATTTTAAATTTGACAAAGTCTTTGAACTTATAATGGTCACATAAACTTCAGGAAAAATCATGTTGTTAGGTTAGCACCAAAGTTTTGACAATTTTATATTATTATATGCAGGATACAGGTTGCATCGTTTTGCAATTGCTGCATTTCTATAGAGTTGAAAAGCAGCTGGTCATATTTGAATCTAACATCAACAATAATGCCTCATTTCCAGAAAGCAACGAAGACTCTACATTCTTATCTAAATATATTTTGTTGGTTGCTTTAGCCTTTTCTGTTTTTCTTTCTTTATTTAATGAAACTTTTGAAGCAATTAATAACTCATTTGTCAAGTGACATTTTTGAAATTTGCTAACATGTTGATACTTAGTTCTTGAGGAACACTCTTAAAAACCAGTAATTGGTGGTCTACCAGTGCTAAAATAAGATCAAGAATTTGCATTTGGTATGGCCATTTTGACTGCAGTAAAATCATTTAAATTAATTTCATTATCAAGCCATTAAGCATTGTTTTTAATAAATAAAGATTCTATGTGTTTACAAGTATTCCAGTGCAATTTAAGATGTACTAAAAAGTTCTTAAGTCTCTTAATAATGTCATAGTTCTGATCAAAGGGCAGCTCAAAGAATGTTAAATGATTTCTCAGTGTCTTGAATAGAAATTCTCTTAAGTAGAAATGTTATTATCTTTTAAAGAAATGTAAACCAAATTATTCAATCTAAAATCAAAATTAAAATAATTGTTTCTTCTGAACATATATGTGTACAAAAGTATTTTAGGTCAAGACCAAGGCCTTGGCCTTGGCCTTAGCCTTGCAACATGTGGCCTTGGCCTTTTAACCTTGTTAACTCTAAATCACCATATATAGAACAAAAAAAATTGTTTGAGACCATAAATTGGTAAATAAAAAAAACAACAATTCTATATTTGTATTTAAACATTTTGCATAATTGATTTGTAGGTGAAAAGTTATTACAAAATATTGAATTTTAAGAACTTATTAAAAACGTGTTTTTGGAATAAATACTATGAATGAATATGATTTATTTGCAATAATTTATTGCAAAAAGTTGCAAAATATTTATGATGCATGACTATTTATATACATTGAGCATTAGTTTTACATAACCAAATAATTGGAGGTTAGTTTATCTGATACCTAATAGTAATAGTTTGTAGCAAAAAAATATAAAAAACTGTTGTGCGCTGATGGATAAAAACTAAGGATTGGGTAATTCCACGTAAAAGTGGAATAGTCATTTCAGTCACCTCTTTAAATTTTAACCAGTGGTACGTATTAATGAAACATGAAAAAATGTAAAATTTGAGCCCCAAAATCCAACTGGTTAAAAAATTATGACGTTTTGGAATTCAGCCTAAAATGTTCCTTTTTTAACAAAATCTTTCATTATGGATTTTGTAGTTGTACTTTTTAATGAATAATTTAAGATCTAGTGAAAGAATGTGTCTAAAAATTTGTACCTGACTATTTTTGACGGTGCTGAGTTCAAAAATGTTGAGAAAATAATGAGATTAAAATTTTTTGATAGTTATTTTCTGATTTCAAAATGGTCAATCAATTTTTTTATTCTGTTACCATGGGTTGCACTTTCATTAACTTATTTTCGTTAACATGAAACATAACAAACTTAGTTTCATTAAAATGAAACATACATACTTCATTTTCTAATGAACATACAGTTAAGGTCATCAGATCTTTTGACTTAAATTTATTTTTCTCTTTACCATAAGATTTGGATGGTGCATACAAACAAAGACTTAGTGTGCCAGATTTTCTAGCAAATATACAATGCTATGGCCTTAAAAAGGCATTAACAAAGATTAATTAAATTAACAAAGGTTGGTTTGCCTTCTCAGATGAGTTTTAAAGAAAGCCTGGGGGCGCTAATGTCCAGCTCCTATTTTGAACCCTGATCATCTATAATAAAATAGAGTTTAAATTAATGCATTAAATCTAAAATTTATTTAGATAAGTATTTAAATATCTAAATTAGTTTAGAGACCTTCATTTAAACCATAATGAAGGTCTCTAAATAGTTACCAGATTAAAGAGGGGGCAACAAATATATCTTTCTTTTTGTTAAGAAATTACTTATAATTGGTGGCACCCCTCACATTGGTCATTAGGTAGGTTAGAGGGACACTTGTTTCTAATAATGCACTTACCTGTTGATAACTGAAAAATAGGGATATTGAAAAATGCTGCCATTTTTAGTGTGATCATAACAAGTTTATAATATTTGCATTTTTAGATAGTTGGATCTAATGGTCTTATATGCTGTTAATCTTAGATCAAAATAAAGTGTTATAAAAGTTTACAAGCATCTCAAAATGGCCGAAAAATTTGACTTTTAATGGAATATATACTTTTAGATATATTTGAGTTTTAAAGTAGTTTAGAGTTAAGTTTAGACAGTAGTGGTTAATCAGAAAAAATAACTGTAAAGATTTGTTGATGAATAAAAACATAATACAGTTAACTTCATTTTGTCATATTTTAGAAATTTTCAGATATTTTTCAAAGTTGAGAAGGTTTTAATTTTTCTCTAATATGATACACGCTTTAATATAAAGCCACTTTTTTAAAGTAGAGAAAAGTATCCATAAAATAGTTCTAGAAAAAATGTTGAAAGTAAAAAAAAGTTGTAAAGCTCTAAATTAGTCTATTTTGACCATTTTTAAATTGTGTTGGTTGAAATATAATGAACTGACACAAGTTTTTTTCAAGGGTATGTAAAAATTATCAAAAACTGTTGACATAATTAATGTACAGTCCCTAAAATGTGTGTAATAAAAATGCTGGTAACTTCTCTTATAAAGATTGTGATTCATTGTTCATGTTAATTAAGAGGGTGTAATTTCAGTCACCTTAGATTTTCTTTAAATTTTAACCAGTGATTCCTTTCAATTAAACATTAGAAAATATAAAGTTTAGGCTCCCAAATCCAAATGGTTCAAAAGTTATGACATTTTGAAATTCAGCCTAAAATGCGCTCTTTTTTTTTACCAAGTCTGACATTATAGCTTATGTACTTGTACTTTTTAATGAATAAATGAATATTTAGTGGAAGAATAATAAAAGACAACCATTTTTGAGATTGCTGAATTTAAAAATGTAGAGAAAATAATTCAATTAGAAATGGTGTTTATTAACTAGAAATTGTTGTTTATTTTTTGGTTTTAAAATGATCAGTTAATTTTTCTTTTCTGTTTCCAGTGGCCGATTCAGCATAGGACGTGGGGGTGGGCGAGCTGCCCGCCTCCACTCTTTAAGCCGGTGAAATGGTGCCCCCTAAAATATAAATTTCTCATTACAAATAGAAAGCTAGGTAACAACAAACCATAGTTTACATACCCGCTTTACAAGTTTGCACGCATTTATGACAGAAAATAAAACGGAGACGTTTTGTTTAAAAAAAAATATCTCCTATAATCATAATGTACACAGTCAATGGATTTTTAACATAGTTCAGTGTATCAAAACTACTGTGACTTACAGTGACAAATGTTCATAAAACTACAATGACTTACAGTGACAGATGTTCATAAAACTACAATGACTTACAGTGACAAATGTTCATAAAACTACAATGACTTACAGTGACAAATGTTCATAAAACTACAATGACTTACAGTGACAGATGTTCATAAAACTACAATGACTTACAGTGACAAATGTTCATAAAACTACAATGACTTACAGTGACAGATGTTCATAAAACTACAATGACTTACAGTGACAGATGTTCATAAAACTACAATAACTTACAGTGACAGATGTTCATAAAACTACAATGACTTACAGTGACAAATGTTCATAAAACTACAATGACTTACAGTGACAGATGTTCATAAAACTACAATGACTTACAGTGACAGATGTTCATAAAACTACAATGACTTACAGTGACAGATGTTCATAAAACTACAATGACTTACAGTGACAGATGTTCATAAAACTACAATGACTTACAGTGACAGATGTTCATAAAACTACAATGACTTACAGTGACAGATGTTCATAAAACTACAATGACTTACAGTGACAGATGTTCATAAAACTACAATAACTTACAGTGACAGATGTTCATAAAACTACAATGACTTACAGTGACAAATGTTCATAAAACTACAATGACTTACAGTGACAGATGTTCATAAAACTACAATAACTTACAGTGACAGATGTTCATAAAACTACAATGACTTACAGTGACAGATGTTCATAAAACTACAATAACTTACAGTGACAGATGTTCATAAAACTACAATGACTTACAGTGACAGATGTTCATAAAACTACAATGACTTACAGTGACAGATGTTCATAAAACTACAATGACTTACAGTGACAGATGTTCATAAAACTACAATGACTTACAGTAACAGATGTTCATAAAACTACAATGACTTACAGTGACAGATGTTCATAAAACTACAATGACTTACAGTGACAGATGTTCATAAAACTACAATGACTTACAGTGACAGATGTTCATAAAACTACAATGACTTACAGTGACAGATGTTCATAAAACTACAATGACTTACAGTGACAGATGTTCATAAAACTACAATGACTTACAGTGACAGATGTTCATAAAACTACAATAACTTTCCAAACAGTAAACTTTTTTTTGTAAAGGAGAAAGAAAAAAACAGTAAACTTTTTTTTTGTAAAGGTGAAAAACAAAAAACTATAAGTTAACTAACTTCAAAGTTGAGGAGCAATTTAGATTTGTTTTTGTGTTAAAAATGTTTTTGACAAAAACCTGTATGGTATCCCCTCCCCACTAAAAACCTACTTGTGCTGGCCCGATTTTCAAAGATGTGTATGAATCAATATCTCTAACAATGATGACTGAACTAAAAATGAAAAATGTACTTCCATTATTAATAAAGATATAGATAACATCATGTTTTCCTACTTGTCTATACTCTACAAAATTGATTTGGCTTTTCCTTTTACATCTGCTAATAATAAGTTTCAGTAGACTAAAGATAAAAAATTATTTGTGATCAACAATGACAAAACAATATCTTTTTGGATTGACCATCATTTTTATTAAATATAAGCTTGCTGACAGCAATGACTTTAAACTATTAATAAATCATTTTGCTTCCACCTAGCAGGCACAGACATCCGTAAGACATCTATATAATGCCTTATAGATGTCACAAGACCAAAAATGATATCTCGCAGAATTTTTTTTTTATAAACTAACAGGAAAGTAAATTTCTTTCTTAATGCATGCTCTCAATAATAAATGTAGTGTAAATACATTTTTAAATAACCAAACCATTGCAATAATATTAAATATTTTCTTTTTTTTTTAACAATAATTGTTAATCAAAGGAGACTGCAAACTTAAACTTTAGATTATTTAGTCTCTTAGACGTACTTAATGGTTATGATAAAAAACACATAAAAGCATCAATGTAATATATTTATCACAAGTGTGATTCTCAAAAAAAAAAAAATTTTAGGGGTTAATTTGCCACCCCTAATCCTTATTGCCCCTTCTCATTTTCCTGGCCCTCCCACGACACTAAACCTCAATCCGCCATTGTCTGTTACCATGGGTTGTGCTTCCACTATCTATTCTTTAAAGTATATAATTTACATTACAATTCATTGAAAATACAATATCTTTGTTTTATAATTATCATAATTTAACCATCATGTCTAATAATTAAGTATTTTTTAAAATACTTTTTAGTATATATATAAATATATTGTTTAGTGTGTATGTATTTTACAAGCTATAAAATCACAGCTTCTATTATTCTTTCATGTTTGTTTTTTTTAATTTTATAGTTTCTTATAATAATTTAAAAGTTTGTAGGAAAGTTTTAATTTTAACAGATTTTGAAATGACTGATTAAAAACAAATTTGTAATTATGTTTTTGTATTTCATTAGTATGTATTCTGCATTATCCAAAATATTTTTCAAGCCGAGATCAGTTCTTCAAATCTCAGGATTTGCGACATCAGCAAAGTTATGGAATCAAAAATGGAATATTGGAAAGTTAAATCATGTAGCAATTGCTGTGCATGATTTACCAAAGTCAATGGCTCTTTATAGAGATGTATTTGGTGCTAAAGTAAGTAATCCTGAGCCACAAAAAGAACATGGTGTTTATACTGTTTTTGTAGAACTAGGAGATACAAAAATTGAACTGTTGCATCCCCTTGGTGAAAATAGCCCAATTGCTGGCTTTCTTCAAAAAAATCCTGCTGGAGGAATACACCATATATGTTTAGAAGTTAGTGATATACACTTAGCAATGGAGACTGTAAAAGCTAACAATATAAAAGTTTTAAGCGATAAACCAAAGATTGGTGCACATGGAAAACCTGTTGTATTTCTCCATCCTAAAGACTGTGGTGGTGTGCTTATTGAATTAGAACAAATGTAAAACTTTAATTAAAAACATTTTACAATTTAATTATTTTTATTTATAAACTCGCTCATTACAATTGATTATTATGTAAAGGTTTTTGTTTTGTAGAATTTTTTTCCTTTTTGTAATGTGGAAATAATTTTTGTTGTGTGGAATTTTTCAATTTTAATTGCCAAGTAAAATTAGTTAAGTGTAGAAAATTTCTTCTCAGTTTTTTTTATACACTTTTCTTCCTAATGACTAATCTTCCTTAAACTAATCTTCCTTTCCTTCCATCTTAGTTACACTTTGCTTTCTACTGAGTTTCATACTCAATTACACCTTCATAATACATTTTCTTTCTTTCCTTCTCAATTATACTTTTCTTCTTACTCGGTGTAGTTAAGGCAGTTAAATATTGTATGTTAAAAGTTAAATATTAGTTTAGTTACTATTAGTGTAGTTAAATATTATAGCGTCTGTATGATATTTTGTTGATTATGACATATTTCCGTGTAATAGTCTGGTCTGTGAATTACGAAAAGACGAAAAAAATAAAAATAATTAATTTTGCGGTATCATAAAATATAAATGTTTGTAGCGAAAAAACCCAGACGGTGGAATCTTTTTTTTTAAAAAAATCATCTTAAAATCACAATTGCTCGTCCAAATTTAAATAAGATTTTATATTAATACGTTTTTTAGGTGAAATGAACATTATAATTTAACAATATGATCTGTTCTGATCGTTTATTGGCAATTATTTATAATTTTTTTTTTTTTTTTTTTTTTTTTTTTGTATGTATTTAGGTGCTCCCAGAAGTCCTTACGGTCTTATCATATAGCACCGCGGGAGAGCATTTAACGGGAAGTTCACGCCTCCTTCCGTACCAATGTCACTTGTTGGGCTAGAGCTGGCGTCGAACCTCGTACCTCTGGGTTCTGAGCCAGAACTCTAACCGCTGCGCCACGGCTGCTTCTGAATTATAAGCTCTTTCTTGGTCGGAACTCCAGTATTTTTTGTGAAAATTGATAGAAGTATTGTGTTTTGACACCTATATATTGTTAATATACGTCAGAACCGATTAGAACTAGGATCAGTAGTAAATTAAGTAACTTTTTAAAAAGATTCTAACTAAATTCATGTTAATGTCGATGAGCGAAATTGATCTAAAGACTCCAAAATAGTGTTTTTTAGATACATTATTACGGTTTGTAAAAAGATTTTAAAAATTATATATAAAAAAGAAAAGTTTCTTCAAATATTATAAAAACCTTTAGCAAAAAAAGTTATAACATTTAAAGATCTTGTTTGGACATAATATGCTGACAAAACCATGCTAATTCCAAATAAAAGTATTCAAATATTTTGTAAATCGCCTTAACTAGACCGAGTACTAAGTTTTACTTCTTTCCTACTTAATTGTACCTTTCCTCATTATTTTCTTTCCTTCTCAAAGTGTAATCACTTTGCTTTCTACTAAGTTTCATTTCCTTTCAAATCAATTGTACTATTCTTCATAAAAAGTTTTTTTTTCCTTCCTACTCAATTACATATTTCTTCATAAGTTTTCTTTCCTTCTCATTTACTAGTTTAAAACTTATCCAAAAATAGTTCAATTTTAACTCACTAAGTAATGGAAAGTTAAGTGTAGAAAGTTCTTTGAAGTTCGTTAGAGTGTATTGCGATATAAAAAAATAAAGCAACAAATAGCAATAACGGCAAAAGTAATAAATATAATTAAAATATCAAAATTAATTTATATTAGCATGATCACTAGGGTGTGTCATGCTTAATGATTTTTTTTAAAGTTTTTACAAAAACCCGGTACATAAAAAACTTGGCTACATAAAAAACTTGGCTACATAAAAAACTTGGGTACATAAAAAACTTAAGTATATTAAAAACTTGGGTACATAAAAAACTTGGGTACATGAAAAACTTGGGTAATTTAAAGCTAAAACTACAACTAATTTAAAACTAAAACTTAAAAAAACAAAATTAATTTTTTTTTTTATATTACGTTAAGCTACCGGAAAGAGTGTTTTAAAATTGCAAATTTATGGTAAGTTTTTCGTAGTTAGCTTTGATCCTAACCACTGTTTTGCGTCTATAAAAACAAGAGTAACAAACAAACAAAAAATTCTTAACCTGGAGTTCTTATTGATTTTATATGAACTTACTCTGAAAATTGGCTAGCATCAAATAAGGAGCAAACTTAAATTGAGAACTTACAAATGTAAATTTGCACACCGACAATTACGAAAGTTACACTTCATAAGAATGTTTATCTTCAAGTTGCTCCACGAAGATAAACCTTTTTGTGAAAAACCCTACATTGAATTAAACCTGCTGTTCGTTTTTGCAGTAAAAGCTTTATAAGAGAAATGTTCATATCAGAGTTAAGCATTTATTTTCTTAGACTTTTTTATAAAAACTTTATATTAAACTATTAAATTACAAAATGATATCACATCTTACATACGAAGGCAGAAATGTTAAAATTAATGCATGGAAAAAAATTTCCACATGCTTAAAAGTAGAAAGTATGCTAAAAAAGTAATAATTGCTTTTAGTTTAACATACAGCGTAAACTTATTGCTGCCATTTTTATTGTTGACAACAAAAAAAGTAGTGCAAAAGAAAGTAAATGGAAATCAAAACAGCGTTTCGTCGTAGCGTAAAAATTCAATTCGCACGAATATTTCGTCAACAAACAAACAAACAAAAAAATTTGTGGAAAACGGCCTTAAGAGATCTTCTTAGATATGGTCTGTTTTTAACAGAAAAAAACAAAAACAAAAAAAGATTATCCAATAAAATACTTAATGAACGATGTTTATTTAAAGTTGATTGATAAAAAGATCCACGCAAATGTCTTATTTGTATATCCTTGAAAATTTAACAACGAAACCCATATTAACCCACATTAACCCACATTTTTATTCATCTAGTTTTTTTCCCCGCACTTCAATCCTTTGGAACTCTCTCCCATCTTCATGTTTTCCTGACTCATACAACCTTCAACTTTTCAAGTCTTCTGTCAACCGTTTCCTTGCTCTATAACTCTGTTCTTTTTTTTTCCTGATAAAGTTAGAGAATTAAAGGAAAAATTTTTTAAATTAGTTGTGTTTATATTTAGTTATTAGTTAATAAATAAAAGTTAATTAAACTCCTATGTAAAATGAATTTTAGATATATTACAAGTATTTACCGTTTCGACTTAAAACTAACAAAATCTAATTAAATTCGAGATATATATGTACGACTATTTGTATTTTATTTATGTTAAGACATAACAGATAAAAATATATAAATAAAACTACTTGTACTTTATCCAGAAATAATTAAAGAAGAGTTAGTTATTGATCACAATTAAGTCAAGCGAGCTTAAAAAAAAATTATGAAGTCTGTAGAGTGTGACACTCAATGCAGAACTAGCTTATACTAATTTTTTTTTTTTTTTTTGATGGCAGATTAATAATACAAAAGTGCAATTAATAGTTGAAGGTTTGACTAAATCTTTCTACAATCAAAGAGGAACATTATACATTATGTTAAGATTGCAGTGGTATGTAATTTTTCCATTTCACACCTGAAAAAGTTCAAAAACATGGCAAACACGACGAAGTAATTGCTCAGAATGTATATGAATTTTTGAAAAATAATGGTATCTATAAAAACTTATCGATACCATTATTTTTCAAAAATTCATAAAAAGGCAATAGGTGTTGATTCTAGTAGTTTTAACACAAGGTGGTCAGGCAGAGCAATATATTGGCTAAAAGTGAAATAAGAAAGAAAGCTAAACTGGCTAATTTGCGTATTCCATACAAATAAACTTTCTCCGCGTCATCTGATGATAACTCTTAATAGAGAGACTCTGAACAACAAAAAATGGAGAGGCAGTATTAGAAAATTATTCAATGCTCTGCATTTTGTTCCATCCTTTGAAAAAATTGATGTCAGAAATCCTCTTATTTCTCTAAAGGATAAAGTAATTATATATATTCTTTAGTAATGATGGAAAGAATGAGAAACAAAAAAAGTGTTTGTACAAATGCAAGGTTTAGTTGCTCGAATGAGAAACCACAAAAATGTTGGTGCAAAGTTTAGTTGTAATTTTTAGAAAAATTTTTAAAAAAACATTATTACTTAACTGACAACTTAGAAAATATCAACCAGTCAACCGAAGAACCACAAACTAGTCAATGTTCTGTTAAGAAACTGAATCTAGCCAATCTACTGTTGATAAACAAGGTTTTTGTGTTCAAATAAAAAGACAGCGGCAAGACCAAGCAGTGGCTAGACAGTGACAACTAAATTTGATTCATACCGTATTAAAACAACTAAATCTGAAAAAGAAGCAATTGATAAGCAGATGATAATTTATGCTACTAACTCTTCTTTCAGAATGGTTGAATATCCAGAGTTTATCAAGATGAGTCATTTTTTACGCCCAGGATATAACCTTCCTAATAGAATTGATATTGGTGAAAAATTACTCGATACTGTTCACAAGAACAGATTAACTAGCTGTTTAGCTTCATGATAAGTCTTAAATCATGAGTACTGATGGGTGGAATATTGATGGTTCATAATAAACAACGGAAAATTCAAATATATACCTTGCAGATACAATCAATACTTTCGGTAATTCACATACTTCTGATTTGGGTGACGTTGCTATTAATTCTATAACCAAATACGAGAAACAATTTGGTTGTTAATGTAAATAAAATCTATCAAAAACGAGACAACAAATGAAAACTCGAAATTTTAATGCTATTATCTATGGATTTTTAGCTCATATTCTTAATCTATTGGTCCAAGATTTGGCAATTCTAAACATCAAGGAACAGATAGTTCAAATTGTTAAATATTTTAGAAACAATCATTTTGCTGCTGCTACATATAAAGCAAAACAGGGGCTACGACTTATAATGCCCAGATGTCAGATGAAACACATTGGCTGATTGTCTTGAATCCTATCTAAAACACTGTCCGATTCTGTTAACAGTTTTTTTAATTCCTAAATATAGAGGTAAAGATTTAACTAATAAAGAAATAGAGATTGGAGTGGTCTTTGCGCCTTAAAAGAATCCAGATTTTCTTCCACTTTTAGTTAACTTTAAAGCAGAAGCAGCACCATTTCAAAAGTTTATGTTCCATGATAAAATTATTCAAACTATAGGGCCATGTGATTGATGGGAAATGATTATATAAATCAGGAATTACTGAAAGTTATTGATCATATACTTACTACTGTTGCTTCATTTGCAGGAGTTGAAAGAATGTTTTCATCATTTGGTCTTGTGCATTCAAAAATTAGAAATAGACTGGGAATTGAGAAAGCAAGCAAATTGGTTTTTTTATCCAAACTATTAAATCCAAAAGCATTAGAATCAATGAATTTAATCGATTGAATCATTGAAACTTTGTAAATAAGGTAGATTATAAAATATTTTTTCAATGTTTTAAATTAAGTTAGTTGTGAGTTCATTTGATTTTAAAAACTATGCGATTAAAAGTTTATTTTTCCAAAATAATTTTTAGTAATTTAAATTAAAAAAAAAAAAAATTGATTTTTTTTTTTAAATTGTGATTTTTATCAGCCCTGTTTTTTGTATAAATTTAGTTCTTGCGTAGAGCCGCCGCGCCAAATTTAAATTGCGTAAAAAAACTTATTTTTACTTTGTCTTAATTATGCTGACACCTATAATATATAACAACTAATATTTAAGATCATGATTATGTTTTCTATTGTTTGTCGATTCCCTTATCGGTATCGGTAGTTTAAATACCAAAAAATCATATCGAGTCACAAATGCTACCATACTAGGCAACCCTTCCCTTGTTTTAAATCTTAATATTTTTACAAAAAAAGATCCATAGGTAAAAAGCTTTTAGTAAAATACTAACTATGTTATGATGAAAATTAATACATGTGATTCTCTAGGTACTCCAAAAATAACTTTAAAATGATACATTAATGACACCTACACAGTACAAAAAAATTAGTAGATTTTTGCAATTCAAAATTTAACCTTAAAAATTAACAAATTTTTTATTATGCTCAGTCATGAGCAAAATGGCAAGAATCAAAGATCATGATCAAAAATTTTAAACTACTTTTTGACAATTTTTTTTATAAAATAAATATGCGTGTCTAGTTGATTTAAAACATAATTAAGCGTTATTATTAGTATACTTTAGCTTTAACATTTAAGTTAGCTACGGCAAACACCAATTTTTGAATGGGCAAGCGAGAAAAATGCTCGTTTCGGTATACGGTTACACATCATGTCATTAAAAAGTTTACTTCTATTTTGTGTCTTATGTGAAATCACTTTTGTAACTCACTGTCTTTACTTAACTACTTAATTTACTTACATAATGATGTCCATTGGTAAACCATTGTTTATATTTTTTATTTATTCTATCAGCATTACATTAGCACAATTATCTCAGTATAAATATCGTCAGCCAGACATTTAATTACACAATAGCTAACACAACAAACATCTAGACATTCAACATCTAAAAATTTTTCACTAGCAGTGATAACAATAGAGACTCCTTTCGGTAGCGAATAATCTCGTTAGTACTATTGCAAGATACAAAAATATCAGCTTGTATCTAAGTTGTTGATCTTGAATTTTGTTTTTCCTTTAGAAAATAATAAGTCATGAAATAAACTATACGTCAAAAACTAACTTGCAAAATGCTACTGTTACAGTAGCATTTTGCAAGTTAGTTTTTTAAAATTATTAAATTTTCGTAAAGAAAATTTTTTAGTTGATTATTCAACAACTGCAGCTAATTACGGTATCAGATTCGGAAAAGACAATTTATGATATACATCTTACAGCTAACTACTTAGTCAACGAGTAGACATTTTAAATATAAGGGTTATATTGGGAAAGAGAAGAGGAAGTGGGACGATTTGGAGATTTTACTAAACTTATTATCAGTCATAGAAAAATTGTTTCTAACTTGAATTAGATTTTAATAGAAAACTTAATAACATAATTTAAAAAAAATCATGCAATATACCCATTTAACACATCATTTCAAAAACCTGCGAGTAATTAATTGTCATATTTATAACAAATGAATGTTGCATGTTGCATCTTTACAAATACTTTTTTACTATTTCTTATCATCATTTTGAAACTTTTCTCTACAAACAGCAAATGAAAACAGACTTCTGCAAACAAATATACAGTGTAACGTACTTTACATTCTTGGAGGGGAAATTAAATTTGCTGCTAAATTATTAGTCGGAGAAAGAGGCCTATCAATATCAGTTATTGCTTGATTGTTAGCTTGAATATCTTGAAGAGTGTTTGCAAATCGAGCCCACTCGTCAGATCGTGGAACAGCAAGTTGCTAAAAAAAAAAACAAAAAATAAAAAAACTCCCCAAGAGTATGGCGTTTTATTTAAGCCAAAAATTCATCTTTCGACGTCATGAATGTATATATATATATATATATATATATATATATATATATATATATATATATATATATATATATATATATATATATATATATATATATATATATATATAACTGTATAAAGAAATTCACCTCTCCAACGTCATAAACATATATATGACCCTCATCATCACCAGCAGCTAATTGAAGTCCAGAGCCACTCCATTTGACACGGTTAATTGCGGAATTAGATGCTATAGTTATACTTGAAGTAGGAACCTAGAAAAATGCATTAATATAAAAAAAAATTAAAAAGAAAAAGCAAATTAAAATTGAGAAATTATTCTTTATTTAAGAAGCACTAATTACGCATATTTTACATTACTACACATATTTATCATTAACTATACAACATTATGGTAAAAAAAATATAAAACCTCTGTATCGTTGTTAAGGTTCCACAGATCTAGCCTTCCCATACCATCAACAGCAGCAAAAAGAGCAGGATTAATTGGTGACCATTGAGTGTCCAAAACGTAATCACCGTTGTCTTCAAAGGAATACAAGACCTTTGTACTCTAAAATAACAATTCCATGACCAATACATTTTTTATAAAGTTTGCGAATCTCCCATAAAGAACTAAAAAAATACTTAAAAAGTATCTTAAAAGTATTACTACTAAGGTACACTAAAGTATTAGTACTAAAAAAACAACCTTGTTACTCCACAAACGAATTGTCCAATCAAAAGAACTGGTCAGGAAAAGATGTGAGAAATCTATCTAAAAAAGATAAACAAAACTTTTATTTTTTGCAAAAAATATTGTTTGTCTAATTTAATCTATATATATATATATATATATATATATATATATATATATATATATATATATATATATATATATATATATATATATATATATATATATATATATATATATATATATACATATATATATATGACTTTGAATTGCTTAAGTTTTGTTGTAAATTACCGCAGCCCAATAGTAGGTAGACAAAAAAAAAAGTATTATAAATCATTTTAGGTTGCTAATTGAATTTTTTGTAACTTATGTCTTCTTATTTCAATTCTCTTACTAATCCTGAAAAAAAAAATTATATTTAAAGAAGTTGAGATAAGAAAGTACTTTTCCTGTACTTCTCCATTAGAAAATAGAAATTTAATTAATAGATATAAACACTAAATAAATTTTGGAAAATTAACATTAGTTTTGGTTTCCTGAAGTACGTTAAGGTGATATTTACATGTATTTAGTAGAATCACAAAGATTATATAGCAGAGAAAATATGAAATTATATAGTAATGAACCTGAAGTCATGGTGATATCAATATATATAGTTAGTAGAACCACGAAGTTTATGCAACAGAGAAAATATGAAAGCATATAAATCCATGGATTCTTTTAACTATTTTATTTGTGGACAAGTGTAAGATGTTTTTTATGATTTTAATAACAAGTACAACTTCTTTACCAAGGTTATTAATAACAAGTACAACTTCTTTAAAAAGGTTATTAAGCAATATTAATAAACTCTTTAATATGACAATAAATTAGGACAACAACATTTTTGGATAAAACATATTTTTGCTATTTTAGGTCTTACCAAGTTAAAAATAAGGAAAGAAAACTGAAAGTATAACACTTGGATTTATTTTCATAAATCCATAAGATACAATTTAAATAACTGCAATCGTCTTGCTTTTGGTATGTTTGCTTTAGCGAGTAAATAAGTTTTTATACTTTAAGTTTAATGATAGTTAATTTAATTTTTATTTTTTTTTTTGATTTTGGTCAGTTTGCAATCATAATTTAGCTCCTCTTTTAAAAATTGATCCCTGTGTAGAAATAAATAAAATTGCTCACACAAGTTTACAGAGTGAATGGAATCTAGAAAGCAAGTTAGCCACACATCATTAACAAACATAAATTTTAGCTGCTCAAAATAATATTTAAATTAGCCCTAAACAATTAACTAAGAATGTAAATGAAAATTGTTATTCTTATAAAGAATATGCTGCTATTTTAAAGGCCAAGATCAACAAACTAAAAGAAATGATTGAGACAATCAATTTTATCTGGACCCATAGAATGTAGGACCAGGAATCTTGCCTGGACCTGAAACTGTAAAAGAGTTCAAGTGGGAAACAACTTTAGAAACAAAAGCAGGGGTGGTTTGAGCGTCTAGCAAGGGTGTATTTAAGAATTAAGCAAGACAAAAAAAATATCATGTATCTGAGTATTGAGCAAGACAAAAAATATAATGTATTTGAGTATTAAGCAAGACAAAAAACTTGAGCTTTAGGAACAGCAAGGTTATTTGTACTAAAATCAATCCATTCAGTGCAATAAGCATTAAAGTCACCAATAACAATAATACTGCCTAAGAGATAAAGAAAAAGGGTTTGGTCAGTTTAATAAGAAACAACATCAAAAAAAAAAAAAGGTGATCGAGGGCAGAAGAGCTAAACAATAGTACATAAAAAAATAGCGCTTAAACCAGATTTCATGACAAATAAGTGATTTGATACTTAAGTATACATCCTGGCTAAGCATGTGACTATTGGAGTCTTTGATCAAAGAATAACAACCATTAACTCCAAGAAATCAAAGGATAATAACAATCAACTTCATAATTGAAAAAACAAAACCAAATTTAATTTAGTTTAACAAAGCCCAAGAAAGTCTAGTGAACTTTACAATAGGTGAAATTTCACGCATAAAAAGTTGATTCAAATACCACAAATAAAAGAAAGTTGTGTACAACCCTCTATCAACTCAAAGGCCACTGCATAAAGAAAAAAACTATGCGGTTGCCTAATTCCTGCTAATCAAATTTGTAATAAAATCTAATGCGGCATCCACAATGCATATCAAAATAGTAATTAATAGTAACTAATAGTAACAGCTTTCATGCTCAAAATGGCACTGTTAATAGACTGATACTTAAAAGCTGTTAATAAAAACAACCTCTCTGAGAGCTACCATAAGTTCAGAAATCATTATTACCAGTCAGCCTCAGAACCATTATCTTGAGTTTTGGAGCTGTATCCTCATTAGTTTTAGAACTGCACCCTCATTAGGAGATAATAGAAAGAGTTGCATAGTCACTACAGAGAAAACACTTATCTACCTTTTTCTAGAAACTTCCTAGCTCTTATCAACCTTTTCCTAGAAACGCAAATCCTAAATGACAGAAGGACATGAGGCAGTTTGGACTGATGATCCTAATTTTGAAATGACCTGAAATATTTAAGAAAAAAAATTAGGAAAAAAACTTAAACAACACATTTGTGCAGTTTGTTTAAAAAATAAATACTTATCTAAACTTTAAGTAAAAGTACGAACATAACATTTGGCCTGATAATAATGTAGAGTTTATTGCTTGCAATTGATTCAAGTTATTTAATAGGTAATACTGGGGTTAGTTATAACGCTTATTTAAACTGTGGTCAAATTGCTAGTGTTATTTAAAATTGATTAAAATTGAACAATCCATTGGTTTGCTTACCTTGGCTAGTTTATTTAAAAAGTAGCATTTAATTAGTTGTCTGCAGTTTACAGCAAATAAAGCTCACTTATACTAAAAACATACTAACTAACCTTATTTGCAATGTTGCAATTAACCTCGTCACATCCTACAGTCATCAGTGCTTACAAAATATTTATTCTAGTTACAATAAGCTGCATCATATGATAATAAAAATAATATAGCAATTAAAAGTTTTTATTGAAATATAACATAGTATTGTATAAAATGCCAAAATTATAAAAAGTTACATGAATTGCTCAAAATCATTAAAATTACAATAAAAAACCTAATTAAAAATTTTTTTTTAAATAACATGTAGGGAGAATAGTTTTTATGTTTATCCAACTTTTTTTTTTTTACATTAACTATATTACATTAACTTAATCTTACATTAATCTTACATTAACTATTACATTTTTAACTATAACTTTATTATGTCAGCTATAAGAACTTATAGTAATAAATTAAAAACACAAAAAGTTATTGATAATTTTTTTTATCTGATATAAAACTCTGTTTATCATTTTCAGTTTTTTTGGGTTTTAACGTAAATTTTTTTTTTTTTGGGTTTTAACGTAAATATTTTTTTTTTGGGTTTTAACTTTTAAATTTAGAGGAAAATATGACCAAAATAAAAATAATGGCAAGTAAATTTAGAGGAAAATATGACCAAAATAAAAATAATGGCAAGTAAAAAATATCTTTTTCAAACACAAAAAAAAAAAAGATTTTTTAATGTAAATATTTATATACGTTGATAAGAGTGATCATGGTGCCTAAGTGGTGAGTTAAATCAAATTGCTTGGGGTTTAGTTCATTCAAATAAATTCTTTTTTTGTTGTTATCTAAGTTTTTGTTTGTTTTGTTGAACATATTTGTTTCACTATAAATTTTGTTAAACATATTTGTTTCACTATTGCACAAAAACTATTATATATTTTATACTATATTTATCAATGTTGGATTAACACATCACTAAGATCTAATTTATAACCTTAAAAAAATTGAATAATCATAAAAAAAAATTATAAAATTAAAAAAAAATCAAAGTTATAGGAGATAAATGTGGTTTTTAAAATTTTGTTGCAACTAGCCCCAGTCTCCCATACAGATATAGAATAATCAATTTAATAATGTAATTAAATGAAATATATTTATTGAATAAAAGGTGTGAGATAACAATATTTCAACAAACCCAATGTTTCAAAAATCCTGGTCTCCCTTAAACATTTTTTAAACAGATATTATGTCATATAACAAATATATATATATGTTAAAGGCAGATATCATGTTATAAAACACATTAAAAGGGCTCAATAAATCTGCAAACCTTTAGCAAATAAACGAATGTCAAGCTTATTGACTTTTTATTATTCAAACGTCAATACTGCTTAAAATTTTTAAAAAAATGCAGCATTTAACCACTTTTATTTTTAACTTTATATTGAACATTTTACACGTAACGACATTTTAAAGTTACGAAAGTAACCAACTAAAATACTGTTAACAGTCTTGAATGCGTGTAACTACTTTTTTTTTTTTTTAATTAATGATTTTAAACTCGATCTAAATGCAGTCTTCTCCATTTTAACCAGGATCTTATTTAAGTGATCACAATAAAAGTACAAGCTTTTTAAATGTTTAATTAAGATAAATGCTTTTTTTTTTATTTTATCTAATTTTTAATTCTTTAAATTAAAATAATTTATTTTAGAAATAAATTTGGAAGCTTTTAATAAAATATAATCTTTTTTTTATACACTATAATTATTCAAATTGTTATAATTTTCAATATAATATATCAAAGTTTTACTATTAGGAGAAAATCTGAAAACCATAAAACTTATACCATAAAACTCCGATATGGGAGAGATCTGGTGATTGGGGAGGCAAAAAATTGTCCTATTAAAAATTTGATCATTCTTTAACTAAGTCAAATAACAATGTTTTGTAAAATATGCTTTGAATTAAAGCTTTGGATCATTTTCTTCTAAAAAAAATGATTGGCTTCCCAATAACCTAATATTCTAAAGGTGCAGCATAACTGTTTAAATGTCCAAATAAACTACTTTTGTCATTATTTCCTCTATTTTTACCATGTCATAAGCGTCATTCCGACTGAAACAGTCATACACCCTACATTACATCCAATTTCACAGTCAATAATACACACTGTTTTATTATACTTTCAATGTTTTTTCTTCAGGCAAAACCAAAGGTTTAAACCTTTAACACATAGGTACACGTTTCTATTTATTAATAATTCGTTTTCATGTAGTTTTGCCCACTTTGGCATTTTTATAATTTTTTTTTATTTTTATCAAAATACTTTTATAATTATTAAATTATTTAATAAAAAAATAAATATTAAAATATTATTAAATTAAAGGATTTTATAAAAAAAATGTCATTTAAATAATTATGGACAGTAGTGTACATAATTTTCTTACTATATTACACAACAAGACTTTCATTTTTATTTATTTAAAGTATTTTATTTAGAATTTAATGTTTGTTTTGCCTTTTTTATTTTAAATAAAAGTAAAAATTAGTTTCAAAATCTCCCATGCCAGCCTAAAAATTAAAAATAGAGAAGAGTGTAGAACTTTGCCAATAAATGTTATGACAAGCTACTTTTCGAACAATGATTTAATTCCAGAAATAGGAGAATGCCACAAAACTTTATGGACTTTCCAGGTTACCTTCAGCTTTGCAGTTAAATGTATTTTTGCATACTACTGCAGTTAAAAAAAAAAAAAAAAATTTTTCAAAAATGAATTAAAAATTTAAGGCTGTTTAATTTGTGTCCAAATGTTCTGTTTATCTTTTCAAAACTTTCAATGGGAAGATGTAGTGAATAAGCATAAGATGACATCACTCTCCAAAATATTTATTCTCCCCAGAATTTTGCAAGCAATGTTTCCACCAAACTCTATACTGTGATACTTTAAAGTAAAATATTTATGCCCATTTTTAAGTTAAGGTCAATGTTCTTGTAGAACTGCAGTTATAAGAAGTACACCAATAAGTGTCATAATCTCTATATGAAATTAATCTCGAAAAAAAGTTTCAGGAGTTAAAACAGAATGGAAAACTTTATTTTTGATATTTGAGTTAAGGATCTTTTGTCTGTGTTTTGCCCCACAACAAATAATAATAGCAAGTAATAGTTTCAACATTTTATTAATGTAATAATTGACAAAATATTGAAGAATTTAAAATACCATTTTTTTTTAGCTGCAGTAATATACAAAAATACATTTAACTGCAAAGCTGAAGGTTATTTGGAAAGTTCATGTAATTGTCTACCATTCTCCCATTTCTGGAAATAAATTGTTATTCACTGGAATCCTAAGCTAAATAGGCTGAATTGACTGTGCCTTTAAACCAAGTAAAATTTTAAAACAAAAAATTGTATTCAGGAGGTAATGGAGAAAAATTTGAGTTTTATGTCATTTTTGTTTAACTAAACATTTGCCAAGAACAAAAAAAAATATCTAACTTTACTTCTTATATCAAAATTTACTGGTATAAAAAATGAAGTTAAAAAGGAGAAGAAGTTTTATTCACTTCTTCTTTATCTCTCATAGTGAAACATGTTCAATTAAATAAATTTTACTCACTGGTCCAGGAACAGCATTATAATCAATTGATGTAACTGGTCCATGGTGACCATCAAATTGTTCTACAATACCAGCTTTGCTATAATGATAAATTTTATTATACTAGAAGTTTGCAACAGACAAATTTTGGTAATTAAAAAAAGAAAAGAAACATACCTGCCATGCCGTTGGGCTGAATAAATAGAACCATCTTCACTCCCAACAACAAAATTATTAACATCACCTGGTTGAAACGAAGCACTTGTGACAGATACAGGTTTTGTATGTGTATGTTGAAGATCCATCACTTCCTAAATGTTTAATTTTATTGGAATACATGTTTGATCTTATGAAATTGTTTCAATTATACTTGATATGCATTTACAATAGCAACAAGGTAGCAACAAAGATCTTGACTATAATAAATTTACATTGGCTAACCTGAGGTTGGGACAACATGTCTAAACTCCATGAGCACATCTTGCCATCGGTTGAAAAAGTAATCAAGTTGTGCGCATTAAGAGTTCCAACTACCTCTACACAATAAACAGGGTGCTAAAAGTTAAATAAATAATAGCAACCTTAAACAGACATTAGATTTATTATTATAACTTTAGATACAATTATAATTATAGTTAGATATATATTATTATATTAGATACAGTTTTATATATCTATATTATATTAATTTGCTATACTAAAAAAAACCATACTATAAATAATAGATATTGAAACAAATAAAACTAACAAAACTGACATTGAAACATAACCACCATGAATATATGTACAATTGAAAGCATGATTGAATGTGTGATTGAAAAAATTATTGTAAGAATGATTAAAAACAATATAAAAATTTAATTGAAAGTATGAATGAAATCCAGAGGTGGAAAAAGTAAAAAAAAATTATACTCAAATAAAAGAGTTACTTGAGTGAAATTTTACTGAAGTACAAGTAAAAGTTACCGATCGAAAAGTTTACTCAATTAAAAGTAAAAAATAACTTATTAAAAATGTGCTCAGAGTAAAAGTTACTGCGTTACTTTTTCAGTAACAATTTTTTTTTATGGTCATAAAAAGTGAAAAGAAACCAAGCTAAAGTAGATAAAAGTCGTTATGAGCGCGCTCAACATTTTTTTGCAAACAATTTTAAAGTGTCATTTTTATTAAAGTGAGCAAAACTCAAAAAAAAAAAAAAAAAAAAATCAAATCATAGTATTTATGAAATTAAACAATACATAATTTTTTTTTTTTTACTCAAGAGCGCATATGATTTTAAATGTAGCTAAGTACAATACCTTAGAAAAAAAAAAAACTTAGGTAAAAGTAAAAGTTCACATTTAAGAAAATACTTAAAAAAGTAGAAATTCACAAAATAACTACTCAATTACAGTAACGTGAGTAAATATAATTTGTTACTTTCCACCTCTGATGAAATCGCTACATAATATTGACAGCAGTCAGATAAGAATTACAAAATGAAATATGACAAAATTGGTAAAAATTTGATATGGAATTTATAAAACAGCAAAAATTGTAAAAAAAAACAAAACAAAACAGGACAATTGTAAAAGTGTACACAATTGTTGTTTTTTTTCAAATTAACAATTCCAACTATTGGATAAGTATTTAACTTACATAAGAATTTTAAAATTTCAAAATTATTGTTTGTTGTAACTACAAGTATCACAATGACAGTTGTTACATATGCAAAAGTTGACAAATAAAACTTAATAAGTTTCATTAATCTATCCACTAGGCAGGTTATATTCCAGACATGTACTATTAAAAATAATCTTAACATCAACTGCAACAATAAAATTTAAAATTACAGTATGAGCAGCAGCTGAAAGAGGAGTTTTTTGCACTGGTGCTCTTTTGCGACTTCTGTTGTCCCACAACACAATTTGACCAGAGTAAGAACCACCAACAAGAAGATTTGGATGAAATTGAGCAAAACATACAGACATAATTGCTGACTAAAAATTCAATACAAAAATTTTTTTAATTTTTTCAAAATTATAAGCATTATTATGATATTTAAGAAAGTAACTGAAAAGTAACTGAAAAGACCTGATTGTGAAATATGTATTCTGGAGTTTGCTTGTGATACTTCATGTTCCATATTAAAGCAACACCATCTGGATCTTGCGGAGAAAGTTCATTTTGGTTATATGAGGCAACTAATAACTCAGGGTGCTATATAAGTGTGTATAAACATATATATATATATATATATATATATATATATATATATATATATATATATATATATATATATATATACAAATATAAATATACACATATTTACATATATATGTGTTTTGAAAAAAATTTAATGAAAACTTACCAGTTGAGACCAGTCCATGCAGGTAACACATCGATGCTTTGACCAACGCTCATCAAAAAATTGACGGTTAAGTGCAAGTTTCTTAGAAGCGACAGACTCACTAAAATAAAAACACTTATACAACTAATAAAGAAATTAACAACTTTAACAATAGAATGGATAATGTATATATATATATATATATATATATATATATATATATATACATATATATATGTATATATATATATATACACATAAATATATATATATATAAATATATATATATATATATATATACATATATATACATATACATATATATATATATATATATATATATATATATATATATATATATATATATATATATATATATATATATATAATATATATATATAATATATATATATATATATATATATGTATATATATATATAATATATATATATATATATATATATATATATATATATATATATATATATATATATATATATATATATATATATATATATATATATATATATATATATATATATATATATATATATATAAACATGTATATATAATGTTATTTAGATAACTATAATAAGTCTAAAAATTAGATTGATATCGCAAATATTCATAGAGATAACTAACATAAAAACACTTGCAAAATATTCATTTAGTGAAGGAGACAGGAATATTTATTTAGTGACAGGCAAAATACTCATTGAGGCATCAGTGTCAGTTTGCCTTGAACAATGTGGTGTATTTATCTAATCTGGTATTGAATCCAAAAAGATAATGAAAACATTTGACAAAAAAAGACATGAAATTTTGATGCACATAGTACAACTATTTTGAGTAACAAATATGTCAACTTACAAAACTGCTAAAAACTGTTGAGGTACCAAAATTGATAAACCTTTATGAAGTTTTTTACAACTTAAAATATGTATTAAACATCATTTTAAAGCAAAATATTAATAATTATATTAAAATATATTATTACATTTTTTGTTCTACCTAAATACAACCTTTTATGTAAAGATTATTTGAATGCTGATGTCACCACTCTTGAAAAAAGAGTAATGTTCTTGTAACAATATTTTACTATCATAACAAAATTATGAAGTCTATTATTATTTTCCTGATTTTGTTATACCTGTCCTAATGTTGCTTCTTTTTCTCTTTTATAGCAAAGAGAAAAAGAAGCAACATTAGAACAACTTGATAGTTGTTGGAGGTTGACTGCAAGAATAGGTCAAACTATGTTTACAATGCCTTTTTGCAGTCTTAAATAAAAAGGGCATTGGAAGATCCCTCCAGATATGGCAATAAAATTCCATACAAAGATGGATAAGAGATTTATATAGATAAAAAATTGAATCTAGAGTAAGAAAGTGGCGAGCACAATAAAGAGAAGCAACCTTAAAGATGCTAATTTTGTAATCAATAAGATATATGGTTTCCAAGGTTAGATTCTAGATTATTGGGATAACAACTAGCTGAAAAAATTGAGTTATCTGAGTTATAATTTACCAGACATTGAGAGCCCATGCTGTAGCAGAGGTGAGATCCTTTTCAAGCTTAAATGCCTCTTCCATGCAATCAGAAAGTGTTGGCTTCTTATAAAAGAAGAATAGATGGGAGCATTTTCAGCAAACAATGCCACTTTAGGTGTGAGAATTTCTGGAAGATCATTAATGTAGATTTAAAAAAATATAGGGCTAATGATAGAACCCTGAGAAACTCCTGAAGTTACAGAAAATGTAGAAGAGTGCTATCCATAGAGGACTTTTATACTATGATTGGTATAGAAGGATTCAATAATCTTAAAGTTGTTACCGATACACCATAAGAAAAAAGCTTATGGAGAAGATCAGCATGCCAAACTTTATCAAAGACTTTAGAGATGTCCACATGGTAGCCACAAAATTTTAAAAGTTAAATTCCAGGACATTTCCAGGACATTCCAGGAAATTTTGTTGGGTTTTCCAGGACATTTTATATCCTATTAAATGAATATTATCAATTACCTTTAAGTTTTATTTTTTTCATATTGATTAAATTATAGAAAAGAATATTATATTATATTAAATTACGTCAGAACTCGTTCTACCGTAAAATTTTGATTCGTTTTTTAAACGTTAATTTACGTTTTTAACTTGTAGTTAATAGCTGATGATTACCGAAAGGCACGAAACTTTAAGTACTATTATAATGTTGTTTTTCTTCATTTAAATAATATATATATATATATATATATATATATATATATATATATATATATATATATATATATATATATATATATATATATATATATATATATATATATATATAATTTAAATGAAGAAAAACAACATAATAGTACTTAAAGTTTTGTGCCTTTCGGCAATCATCAGCTATTAACTACAAGTTAAAAACGTAAATTAACGTTTAAAAAACGAATCAAAATTTTAAGGTAGAACGAGTTCTGACGTAATTTAAAAAGGCGCAATCATTTAATCTCCAGTATCAAATGAAGATAACAGGAATTTATTTAAATGTCAACATTTAGATAATAATTTGTCTTTTTTGTTAAGCAGGTTGTTTCCATTAAAAGATAAAATTTCTAATTTCTCATGAAGACAAAGTTTGCAGGTTATTGTTTCTGGTTTGTAAGCTTCACAGCGTTTTCTAATTTTCCACTTTATAATAGGTGTTGTACCTTTTTCTTTTAAACTCCAAATTTCTTTTAAAAGTTCAGTACCATTTTTATATTTGATCGCATTAAAAGATTTTAAATGATTTGCGTATCTTAGCGTATCTGAGCTTGAATGGTGTCTCACTGATACTAAAATATACTTTTTCCTTAGGATCTGGATCATCAGAACTCACAGTGGCTTGGTAAACAATATTACTTACTAAACATTGGTTACTTAATGGACAAGCGGTTTTAGTAATACAGTTGCATTTTTTTGTAGTTATATTTCTTTTACTTTGTAAAATCTTGTGGTTGTGTGAACTATTGATGGATTTAATATTTTGCATGCAGCTATAACTAACCTTGATCGAATTTTTATTGAATATTTTGCGTAGTTTGTGATTCACAGGGAAATGTAGATCAACCAATGCTAATAAATGATTTCCTATTTTTGTTTCTACATTTTGACTAAACGGAGGGTTATACCATATAATATTTCGCTTACGATTTTTATTTTTAGGTGATGTAACCTGGGGTTGGTATGTAAGCTTACAGTTATAGCCAGGTTTTTTAAAAGCCTCTTCGTAAGATGGTGTAGCATTATTAAAAACAACTTCATTTGATGACGTTGAAGATAATCTACAATATAATTTATTATAATTTACAATTTTCATATTGCATTGGATAGATATAAGAAAATCATTACTTTGAAAAATTTTTACAAAATGTTTCTTGATTTTTTCCATCTGCTGGCTATTGATGTTCTTAAATATTGCTAGACTGTCGTCACGATACAAACCAATGTTTTCTTTTTTGTAATGTAAAGAAATTTGAAATAATAAAAAAATTCCTACTAACTCGCAAACTTCAGCACCGTCATAAGCCCCCATGGTAACATCAAATTGACCACCATTTTTCTTAACCCACTCTTCCTCATTGTTAAAAAGTAAAGATTTCCTTGAATGTTTTATTAATTTTTTATGTTCATTAGTTATTTAAATATACTGTTCTGCAAAGTTGATTGCGTTGTTACTTATCAAAGAAAAAAAAGTTTTCACTAATCAACGGGTAAAAATCATTAATCTCAAAAATTAAAAATTTGTACAAATATTTGTCTTCAATTTTTACAAACCAGTCGGTAACATTCTTGGTGCTTTGCCATTGGTTTAAAAAGAGTTAAGTTTTTAGGTCATAATTAATTTTAGATAAAATAATTTTGCTAATTCTCCCTACCTCATTCTTTGCTGGATTTAGAAGTCAAACAGTAGGGTTGTTAGCAAAGTTATCTTTATGGTCTTTCAATGAGATAAAACAATTTTGATTTTATTATAAACGTCATGGTTACGCAAAACATCTTTCCCTTTATTTATTTTATCTTTTAGGTTTGGATCAGCGTTTTTGTAAGTGGTAGTAATAGCATTAGTTAAAAGGTGATTATATTCTTCTTTCGATAATTTATAGATATTTGATATTTTATCAGCTTTTATAAAGGTTTTGTTAGACCTTTGTATGGCTTTTAAATCTTTTTTCATATTATCTTGAAAGATGTTTTTAACTTTTTAATATTATCTTGAAAGATGTTTTTAAAATCGAAATTTTATCATTTAACAATCAATATATATATATATATATATATATATATATATATATATATATATATATATATATATATATATATATATATATATATATATATATATATATATATATATATATATATATATATATATATATATATATATATATATATATATATATATATATATATATATATATATATATATATATATATATATATATATATATATATATATATATATATATATATATGTATATATATATAGAGAGAGCCTCTTTTCAAAACTTAAAAATCTCTTTTCAAAATTTAAGAATTTTTTTTTCTGTCAGTGATAACTAGAAAGAAAAAAGTAAATTAATATATTGGGGCCTCTAATACTCTAATATCTAAGTTGTCCTGCGCCTCATATTATCTCTGATTTCAACCCCTGTATATATACATAATAGTTAAACAGAATTTTTTTTATTGAAATCATACTCTTTAATGGAACTACATAAACAAAAATATTTACAAAAAAAACTCAACCAATAGAATCTCTTTTTAAACATAAAGCTTTTTCTAAACTATCAAGCTCTTGCAATTTTAAAAGTTTATCTTTTGATAACTTTCTTGAATCATTTGAAGTAACTAAAAAACTGAAATCCTTTTTTTTCTCTGCTTTTAATGCATATTTATATGCTTCTTTTATTAAATCAACAGCTGATGGTTGAAGTTGTTTCTTTTTTTGAACAACATCATCAATTTCAACAGAAACAGCTTTTCTTTTTAAACATACAGTTGATATCTCTTTAACCTTTTTTGCACTTTCCAACGCAACTTCATATCGCATTTTTGATGATTTAACAGATTTTAACATTTCTCTAGTAATTGAAATATCAGCAGCATTTTGTCCCTTTGATGATATGTGATCATTTACTATTCATAAGGCAATTAGTGAATCTTCACTTAAATTTTCAATTAAATAATCCTTATTTACTTTGAATCCCTGTTCAATGGCAGCCTGGCCATGAGACAAACAAAATAAAATTATGCAGACATCCCAAAGAGATGTATATCCATTTACAGGTATATACTGAGCAAGAAATATATCCAAGATATTTTCATATTTTTTGAATGACAAAAAACCTGTATCATGTTTACGAACAACGTTTATTATAAATTGAAAATACTCTTCATTTGCTTTGTCACCAACTTTTGATTTTAAATAACCAGAAGCCACTAATTTTTGTAATAATTTAGAAAACTTTAATTTGTTACACTCTAGTTCTCCGCTATCTGCTAATTTAATTAGATCCAGGCAAGATAAACACCTGACAATAAGATATTTTATGGGAAATTTTTCTAACATGTGAGTTGCAAGTGAAGATAAAAATATGCATACATCTTTGTAAAATTTTCAAATTGTATTTCCTTTTGATGTTGAAAATTTTTTGTATTTTTGAACTTCCATATTGGCAGACAGACCAATATCAATTGTATCTTTTTTTTTTGTATAACATTGGATCTAATAGATTTAGCTTCATCATTTTCTCAACTTTATCAGATTTTTCTAATACATCATTCAATAAAAACATATTGAGAATGTTAACTAATATGCTTTTTAAAACATCAAATAAAAATGGGACCATTGGTTTATCACTTTGAAAACCTTTCAGAAATAGATTTAACTTTTCAGCTATAAATTCAACAAATTTTAATTTAGCAATAAACAAAGGACCTTTTATTGTATCTTTTAAAATATTAAACCACTTTCCATAAGGTTGCTTTGATTTTGGTAAATTTTGTAAGTGTTCAATAAACTTTAAATATCCAGGAAAAATACTTGCTGCTTGTTCACAACAGTTTTTGATTCTCACACCAACAATGGCCACAATAAAAAAAAAGGGTAAACCTTCATCTCAGATACATTTTTATAGATTTCTCTACGAGAAGGACATTCATTGAGAATCTTCCACATTGCTTTCAATTTTTCACCAAGCTTCCATTCAGATTTATTGATTGATGTTTTTAGGCTTCCATGAATTGTGTGGAGGCCACACGTGCCAATATCTATTAGGGCTTGTACTCATTAAGTTCACAATTTTCTTTTACAAGTCCTAAAAGCTTTAAATTGACATTAGGGCCATCTGAAGATATCTGAATAATTTTTTGTATGTTAAATTGAAATGTATGTTAAGTTGTGATGTGCCGGGTACCCGGTTCGGACTCGGGGACCCGGCAATTTGGCTGTTTTACCGGGTACCCGGTATTGGCCATTTTGTTGCAGTGCCCGGCACCGGGTATCTTCAAATTGATTTTTCCTTTAGTTTAAACTTTAACCATTAAACTTCTTGATATAAGTCTAAAAGTTTTATGTAGTCGATAACCACAAAGTTCTATTAACTTAAAACAATCTCACTTTTCTGCAAAAAAATTTATACGGATACAAAAACTGTAACGCTAAATGAAATAATTTGAGAATACGAATAAAAAGAATGGGAAAAAAAGTTTTAAAACAGCTTCTTTTTATTTTGTTAGAACGCAAGATAATTTTGCCAAGTATCAAATGATATTACAAAAACAGGTGATAACAATATTTCTTTATATAACAAATCAAGAAAGTATGGTGCAATGCCAAACTTTGTAATATATCCACACTTTGTTCGACCTAGCTGAAACTTTTTTTGCAATGTTACTATCAGAAAACATTGATATAAAAAGTCAGCTTAGTCCTTCATATTTTTTTTCTTTGAAAAGATTTTGTTAAAGCCACATATAATACACATCTAATTTCAGCAGTTATTACTTGTTCATTTATAAATACCATATCCAATGATTTAGAAGTAGATGGCTTTTCAATAAACTGAATTGTACTTGTTTTTAGAGGTGATGAAATAATCGATTCTGAAAAATAATTCCATAATGAACTTGATACAGGAGGTAATAACTTACTATGTTTTTTACTTTTGAGATGAATTTTTTATGCATTTTCACTATTATTTCTAACATTAATGCCTATTTTACAAAAAGAACATGATGCAACTGTCATACTTTTTTTAATAATCCAATTTTTATATTCAGATGCTTGCAACTATTTGAAAAATGTGAATCTTGAGACATTCTGCAATTTATACTTTTACTATTTACACTTTTTGTAAAATTAAATTTGCATATTTAGATAATAAACTAAAGTATTTCAAAACTTTAGAAAAATTAAATTTTGTAAACTGATTGGCAAGACTTAAAACTCCACAATTTCAGATATAACAAAACAAAAATAAAATTTAAATTAATTTAATATATTAAAAATAAAGAAAACCTTTCGATTAAATAATAAATCATAGATAATTCTCTCTTATTTAAATTTAAATTCAAACCATTTATATAATTTTTTTTTTTCGCATAAAAAATTTAATATTACTTCAATATTATTAGTCATTTTTTAACTTGATTCAGAAAAAAAAAAGTTCCAGGATATTTAAGGACATTTTTGAAAAAAATGTAATTCCAGGACATTTCAGGACATTCCAGGACACTTGCAAAAATCCAGGACATTCCAGGACTGTGGCCACCATAACTTTATGTGTCCAGAGCAATAACCTTAGCCTTTCCACATCTATCTAATGCACAATAAAATCTATCAGTTCTTATCCTTAACAAATCAGCAGTAGATCAAGAAGATCGAAACCCATATTAATAATCAGAAAGTAAAGTATTAGATTCAGGATGAAAGGCTAAGTGTTTGTTAATTAAAAAAAAAAAAAACTTTGCTTATTGTAGGATGAAGACTAATGGGACTGTAGTTAGACGAGTCAGATCTCTCTCCAGAGTTTTTGAAAACAGAAAATAATAAATGCTACTTTCCAGCAAGAATATAAGATTATGATAAGCACTTCTTAAAAAGTTTCGAAAGTAAAGACGACAGCTCCAAAGAACATTTAAACAGAACACTTACTGCAAGACTATAACAGGTATGTTGTCCGGACCACAAGCTGTAGAAGAGTCTAAGCTGGAAATCACTTTAGATACAGAAGCTGAAGTTATTTGAATGTCAAGCAATGGATCAACCTGATTGTTATATAAAATTGTGTTTTATATAAATTTAAATTTATAAATACTCTGTGAATTATTTTTGCAAAAAAATATAATACTGTTACTAGACCAGAATAAGTAAATAGAATAATTAAAACACAGATTCAAATGACAGAATAGATAAGAATCAAATGACAGAACAGATTAGAATCAAATGAAAGAACAGATTAGAATCAAATGATAGAACAGATTAGAATCAAATGATAGAACAGATTAGAATCAAATGATAGAACAGATAAGAACCAAATGACAGAATAGATTAGAATCAAATAATAAAACAGACTAGAATCAAACGATAGAACAGATTAGAATTAAATGATAAAAAGTAAATGATTGTAGTTTGATTTTTCATTGGAATAAGCTATTTACAGTTTTCTTTTTTTTTTTGCTTGATATTCTGGGAGCAAAAAAAAAAAATTAAGTACCTTTCACCTTCATCTTTAACAGCACCATAATCAAATACATAATCATCTTCACTGATTGCTTTTTCAATAATCCGAGCAGCATGATCAAAGAAATGCAAAAAATCTTGTGAATTCATTATTTGGCTTTTAACTTCTTCTGAAAGTTCAACCATTTTTGGAACTAAAAATAATTTTTTTTTTTCTTTATTAGCTATTTTTAGATTTCTGATTTGATTTGATTTAAATATTTTAAAATATACTTTATTTAAACTTATTTGAAACATTTTTTTAAAATAAATTTAATAAAGAAATTATTAAATAAATATTTTGTTGACTGATTGTTGAATAGTATAAAAGGGGTTTTAAAAAAAGTAGAGGGGTTTACAGAAGTGTTAAAACAACATGAAGATGAGAGAGAATTCCAAAAAATGTTCAAGGAAAAAAGTTAATTTTTAAATAAAATAAGCAATAAAAGACAGTAAAAAAGATTCAACATCGCTAAATGATTGCTTAATGATGAATTACTGAATGATCACACAATTTTAGATTTTGGTTGTCAGAACAAGGGAAGGTATTAGATGATAGTATTAGTATTAGAAAAGAGAAATAGATGGAAACTCACAACAATGGGTCAGAGGCTCAAACTTGCAGCTATATCAAGTCCAACTACATTTACAATTCAATTTTGGATCTTGCCTAAAAGAGAGGATTTCATTTCAAAACCAGACTAAAACTTTGAAATAGATTGCACATATAATGCTTATGAGATGTCAGTAGTAAAGAATAATCCAAAAAAGCTTATGAGAGGTCAGTAGTAAAGAATAATCCAAAAAAGCTTATGAGAGGTCAGTAGTAAAGAATAATCCAAAAAAAACGTTAAGAAAAAGAGTTAGTGTTAACATTCATCAAGAATATCCACAATATAACATTCATCAATATATCCACATTTTTACAACAATTTATAGCAGTAAACAACCGAATTTTGTTTAGGTTAATCACAGAAGAGAGATTAAATTTAAGATTGGTTGTCTTTTCTAAGTAATCAAAAAATGACTTATTAAGATAAGAGTATATAGTTTTTGTCAAGTCATGGTTCTTGTCAGTTCTTGTTAAGATAGGAGTTGTGTCATTAAGAGAGGTAAGATTATCAGAAAGATCCTAAATAAAGAATGACCGAGGATGTAAATTTGGGATATCCTAGAAGGTACAGAAAATAAAGCAGAATGTTGTTCGTTATCAATTTTAAAATGTGATTAGAAAAAAATAATTCAATCCTTTTAAAAACATTCCAGATATCACAATCCATATTAGCCTACCTCATATTGTGTATCCTAGATACAAAATATGCAGCAGCACAACTTATATTAAAATCCTTTGGTATGTCAAAGAACATTAGTTTAATACCAAGAGCATTAATTTAACACACAATAGAAACTTTTTGATTTAAGGGTCAACAAGTCAGCAGTTAAACACTGAAACGTATGGAATGTTTGAAATGAATGAAATGTATGGAATGTTTGAAATGAATGAAATGTAGGGAATGTTTCAAATGAATGAAATGTATGGAATGTTTCAAATGAATGAAATGTATGGAATGTTTCAAATGAATGAAATATATGGAATGTTTGAATGAAATGTATGGAATATCAGAGAGTAAATTGTTAGACTTAAGATATCAGAAGTTTGTTATTTAAATATTCAAAGAACTAAGAACTTATGTAAGAAGACAGGTAAAATAAAAACTCAAATATAAAATTACTTTGTTGATTTGCCTAAAAGTTCTGTTTTCCACATAATGAGAAAGCTCGTAAATTTTTCTAACATGCTGTATTGATGTTAACAGCAAATAAGGCTATTTCAGACAACTATTTAAAAATCCAATTATTTTTAACTTGCTATGTTCATAACAAAATTATTTTAGAACAATATTTTTTAATTATTAAGGTTAAAACATTAAAAACTAGTTTCTCCCTAACTTGCCTACTCATCTATGTAAAAGATACAACCAATTCTAAGTCCTTTTTTAACCCTCTAGAACGTACAGTAATAAAAGCTAAAATTATATAAAAACACCTTCTAATGCTAAATAGCAAAAAAATGAAATCTTGACATGACAATTCTATATTATGGTTTTTATATTCTATATTATAGATTATGGTTTGTTTTTAAGTTGTACTCAATGAAAACACTCTATAATAATTTACTATTTTATTATTTTTATGCTCACATTTAGCAGAAAATTTTTTGTCAGTTCTTTTTACATAATCAGTTAACATTATAAGAAAGTCATCTTTAAATTAAAGTAAGTATATAAATGTTTTTATAAGAATAATAATCATATGTAATTGCTTTTATCATGCTAATAATCGCATCTAATTGCTAAAGGCATTTTAAAGCCATTTTTCCTAAACTTTTAGAAAATTAGGATCATTTAATTTTTGTAACGTATTTTGAGATGGGAAAATTTTATTTTTGTAACGTATGTGGTATTTTGAGATGGGAAACTTTCACTACTTTTTAAATGAAGAGACCTCAGTCATAATGAAATAAAGATGATTTTTTTGCATCTTATTTTTTTGTTGTTTTTTTCCAATATATATCAATTTATAATATTAACTTTTTTCTATTAATTATTGTTAGTTGTAATTATATAATATTAGGCCTATTCATTTTTAGTATTTGTTTTTAATAGATCTACTTTGTTACATTTTTATTTTAGATCTAATGCTATTATGAATTTATTAGTCAAGCTTACGCAGTATAAAAAATATATTAATTACTATTCAACTTAGACATTTTTATTTTTATTTTCTTGAATATTTTATAAAAGTAATGTTAAGTTTTATTATTTTTTTTTATAGAATATTAGAGCTAATCTATAAAAAAAATAATACAGCTAATATGGCTTCTAATTCTAGGCAGATGACAGCTAACAAAGTACTGGACTTCATAAATTGTAATGACAATCATGTAGAGAATAATTTCAGTTTAAGTGATGAGAAGGAACAGGTAAAATTGTTAGAACCCTCTGATGAGTCTTCATCTGATAGGGTTCTCTCAGATACACCGGCACAGCCTGCAAATACTAACAATAAAAAAGTAGTGACTTTTACCATAACAAATGGAGAAAAAAGACAAAAAACTCCTCTTTTAAAGGAAATGATCTACCACCTCCAAAAGACATTAAAACTGACACCCCTTAAGGATGTTTTAAATGTTTTGAAACAAAAGTTACTCAGGAGTAAGTGGTCTCTTCTGTGATTTCATATTATACCAAGGCATAGTTGAACATAAGTCAGACATGAGTTTAGGGGCAGATGTTATCCTCAAACTTGTTGAAACACTTTCCTAAAATAAAAACTATAAAATACTTGCAGACATTTTTTTTTTCTAGGACTCCACTACAAGCAAAGCTGACAGAAATGAGATTTCATTATACGGGACAACATGACCAAATAGGATGCAGAACTATCCCCTTAAAACTGAGAAATAGTTCAAACAAGAAAGCAGAGGAGCAATTGACTTTAATATTGATATAGAAAAAGATATTATAACTCGCTCGCTTGACATAAATGTGTTAATTTAACATCTTCTTTAGATAAGATCCTATGGACAAGGCAAGGTGGAATAAAATCAAAAAAAAATTGAAAAACCTCTTGTAATAAAAGAATACAACTTAAAAATGGGAGGATCTTTTTGACTATTTGTGTGTTTTATACCGGGATTTGTATAAAAATGTATAAAGTGCGGGGTGAAATTATATTTCACTACTCGATGTAGTTAAGGCAATTTACAAATTATTTGAATACTTTTATTTGGAATTAGCATGATTTTATCAGCGTATTATGCCCAAACAAAAGCTTTAGATGGTAAAATCTTTTTGTTTTAGGTTTTTTTAATATTTAAGGAAACTTTTCTTTTTTTATATATAACTTTCAAAATCTTTTTACTACCTGTAATAGCTTACCTAAAGAACACTACTTTAGAGTCTTTAGATCAATACTTTTTCAAAGTTCAATAATTTACAGTAGTAAATTAAGAAACTCTGAAAAAGTTCCTTAATTTACTACTGATCCTAGTTCTAATCGGTTCTGACGTATATTAACTATATATAGTTGTCAAAAAACATTATTTCAATCAATTTTCACAAAAAATACTAGAATTCTGACCAAGAAAGAGCTTATAATTAAGAAAAATTAATAGTAAACAATCAGAACAGATCATATTGTTAAACTATAATGTTTATTTCACCTAAAAAACGTATTAATTTAAAATTTTATTCAAATTTGGACAAGCAATTGTGATTTTAAGATTTTAAGAAAAGAATCTTCAGTCTAGGTTTTTTTGCTTCAAACATTTATATTTTATGATATCGCAAAATTATTCATTTTAGTATTTTTCGTCTTTTCATAATTCACAGACCTGACCATTTAACGGAAATATGTTGCAGTCAACAAGATATCATGCAGACACTATAATATTTTAAAAGTGCCATAACTATACCGAGTACTAAAAGAAACTTTTTATGATTATCATAATTAATTTGCCTGGGACTTTTTATTGTTTTTTATTTCATTTTTTTTATACATTCAAATTCACTTTTCAAATATATAGATATCATTTTTATAACACCAATGTTAAATTTTTAGTATTTCAGTATTTATTTGTTTGTTATGAAAGTTCTTAGTAAGATTTTTTTATAAGTCTTACTTTATATTTCACTATTGTATTTTTTCATCCATAATAGCTACAACTGTATTCATAGGCAATTCTAGGAATATTATAAGAGGTAGGGGACAGGGGCTGAAGAAGTCCTTAAAAAGTGATATATATATATATATATATATATATATATATATATATATATATATATATATATATATATATATATATATATATATATATATATATATATATATATATATATATATATATATATATACATATACATATATGCACATAAAAAAAGAAAGAAAGAAGCCATCCAACTGTTAATGTATGAAAAAAATATTTTATAATCATCAATATTCATTATAATCATCATGAATACTAAATCCAATATCATGTATTCATGATGAGGATTATTTTTACCTATATGCATTATCACACACTTATAAATATTTAGTTCCATAAATTTTGTTAATACTTCTCCAAAAATTTTGTTAATAATTTTCCAAAAATTTTGTTAATACTTCATTAAATTTCTACCAAATCCTTTAACAAGTTTTAATTTTATAGGTTTTATTACCAGCATAAATGAAACATCAAGTTTTGATTTCTCTCAATAAGTCACATATGTTGAAGACAAATAAAAATTTATGTCCTAGAACAGATCCTTGTGGTACACATCTTGTCACATTCACCAAATCTGACATATCATGTCCCATAAGAACCCTTTGCAGGTCTTATTAAGTAGCATTGCACTGTACCCATTTTAAATATGAAAAGGCAATTTCACCTACACATTCACAAATTTCTGTTAAGCAAAACTTTTATCTATTAGTAGTGTTATTGATTATAGTTTGTTAATTTCACCTACACATTCACGAATTTCTGTTAAGCATAACTTTTATCTATTAGTAGTGTTATCGATTGTTTGTTAAGATAAGGTTAAATCGCAAGTATAAAATTGTAAAAAAATGTTGAACTGCATTTGTAAAACAATTTATTTTTTTGCTAAAAAAAATCAATACTTTTTTCAATAAAAATAAATTTTTCTAAATAAAGAACACTTAGGATTATTTTTGTATTTAGCCAAATCCATTTCATATTTCTGAACTGAAGTTTTAAAATTTTTTACATTGATGCATTAAATTTTTGAACCCTTGAAATTAAGACACATCAATTCAGAAACTGAAGACCAAAAAGAAAACTTTTGTGTAAGTTTTTGATTTGGTTAAAGCCCTAAACAAATGCTGCTAAACATTTGTAAACAACAATCTAAGGTTAACAATCTAAGGTTAACAATCTAGGTTACAAAGGTTACAAAGGTTTGGTGAATACATACTATGCACTTTGCATTCTAGTCTATTTTTGCAACACCATGTCAATTACTCATATTTATTCTTGCAAATAATTCTTTGTTTTAAGCTCATAATTTATGTTGAATAATTTAAAAAACATATTATGATTTTGTATTCCAGATCTATGCAATTATATTCTTAAATATGTGTATTTCAAAATGTAAATTAAAACTTATTTAGTTATACCTTCTTCCTTTTTTTTTTCTTTTTCTTCTTGTAATACCTCTTTTTTAACAACTTCTACTTTAACAACTTCTAATTTAAAAAAATTAAGTTTTTTATGATATATAAAAAGTATGACTTTCAATTAGAAATAAGGAACAAATAGCTCTAAAAGTATAAATGGAAAGCACATTTTGTAAACCATTTTATCAAAAAATTATCATTTTATTTCTTAATAGAAAACAAAATCAAATAAAACATTGAAGTTAGAAGCAAATGATTTTTAATACTTAAATCAATTATATTAATTAAAACCCTATTATAAAAAAAATTTTGAATTAAAAAAACCTGGTTCAGGACTTTCTTCTTTAGTAACAACTGTCTGTGTTTCTTTTGTGTAGCGTACCAATTCCTAAAGAAATAATAAAACTTTTAAAAAAAATAATTATCAGAAAATTACAATTAAAAATTTATAATATATAAACCTTTGGTGCAAAACTGATTGGTTCACGATGACTAATTGATAGGACCACAGACTTGCGAGCAGGACTATAAATTTAAATGAAAATTTTCATTATCAATATTATTATTCATAATTGTATTAAAATACAATTTTGTTGTAATTGTAGATTTAAATGTAATTATCAATTTTTTTTTATTTGCGAGAAAAATCTTTTTTAAACAAATCTTACATCTTGAATGGCATATGAAAAAATAAAATAGTAAATAAAAATGTTAGCAAATACAATAGCAAAAATTATCAATAAAAAAACTACAATACATAAAAAATTATAGCAACAAAAATAACATCTAAGCTAGTATTTAAAATATCCACACTAGCTTTTTTGCAAGCAGCACATCTTTTTTGAATCAATTTTACTATGATGATCTAATTCTTGCTTTAGGCTATTTATGGATTGTATTTGCACCTTGACTAACTTTTTGTTCATCAAAGCCCAAATAGATTCGATTGAATTCAAATCTAGTGACCAAGCATGCCAGGGCAATAAATCTACTTAATTTACTTTCATCCATACTTTTACTGTATGTGTTGTATGGGGAGGCACTGAATCTTGTTGAAAGTGCCAAAATTTATTTTGATCAATCAGCATGTTCACTGATGGAACCATGCAGCTATTTAATGTCTCTATATATAAATGTTAGTTGATTTGACATGTATAAATGTTACACTACAACTCCATTAAAATTAAAGCAACCCCAAATACCAACACCAATCTTGGTACAACAAAACAATTACTAGACTTTTCCAATTTAAATCTTGAAACAATTACTTGCTTCCACCTCTCCACTTAACCACCCAATTCTTTCCATACACCACCTAAATCTTGTGAGCCGATCTGTGGCCATCAACATGTTTTCTAACAGCTGCATAGACATAGTTTTCTAAGGCTGCATCAAAATACTTAAAAAGACTTTAAATGTGCCTAAACTGGTCATCCTACTTATTTTATAAAACCTTTTATATGAAATTATCAAACATATAAATTAATAAAATAATTATGAATAACAGTTGTTTGGTTGTTTGACAATAAACTAGAACGAAAATCAATTAAAAGGTTTGTGTCAATTTTTTTTTTTTACAATCTTTTTCCAGTTTGTTTTCTGTATTCTCTTGAAAAAAGTAAATTATTAAAGAAAAGTTTTTCTCTACTAACATTGACATGTTGGTTGTAGAGAAATAATTTTCTATAAAACTATATACTTATAACAACTTTCAAAAAATAAATCATAATTACTACGAAAATGACATTTGGTAATTTTTATACTTTTTTAATTTTTATATGAAATTTTTTTTTTTTTTACTTTTTAAATTTATTTAAAATTTTAAATGTTATAAAAAAAAAATTAATTTTATTGAAATGTTTTGATGATTGTCTTTCTATAATATTTTTAATTTATGTTTCACTTGAGGGTTTTGAGCTGTGTAGCTTCTCAAGATTTGTAGTATTTTGTCCAAGTGATTATTTGGCCAACTCCAGAAAAAAACTCTCTCAGATAATGCTGATGATGAGTATGGTAAATACTATCCTAACATAAGCAGCAGCCAGTTTCTGATAGTCACTTGCCATGCTCTTCCACCATAACAAAGGATCAGTCACTAAATTTGCCATAGGAGCTATAAAAAAACTTTCAAGTTTATTGCCAATGTCAGATGACTTTTGCACAGAAAATTTGGGATCATCAAAGTCATGACTTGGTGGTGAGTCAAGATGAGAAGTTGAACCGACTTCCTCAACTTGGTTATCCATTTCATTAAAACATTTGATGCAGTCTTTAACCATCTCTAAATCACCTTAAACCAGTAATCAATCATAAAATAGCAAAAAATATATTTTTTGTTGACCTGAGTAAATAAAAAATGATGAAAAATTGAGTAAATAAAAAAAATTACAACTAACAAATGTGAAAAATTGTATAGCTAACAGACAGTTGTGATGAATAAATAATGGAAATTGTGTAATTAACAAACAATTGTAATTAACTAATAGTGGAAATTAGTGTAATTAACAAACAATTATAATAAACAAACGGTGGAGAGCTTTGTTGACTTCCTGAATCAATTGAACAAGTTTCGAGTCTTGCTTGAGTTAACTCTAAAATTTAAAAAACTTTTTGATTTTAAACATTGAATGAAAAATTCTTTGTAATAAATATATATCATATAAGTCTTGCATGCCTTATTTACAATAAATGATGATATTCTTTCCTTTTCTTTGTCCACACAAAAAAAATCTTGATGTTATGTATTTAGACTATTTAGACAAAACATCTAAGTATCATTTGAGTATAAAAATGGTAGATTTACTTAAGTTCTTATTTTCAGCTTGGTATATTTATTGAAAGACTGACATAAAAATATTAGAAAGAATTCATAAAAAATACACAAAAAGACTTAACACAGTAAGTGACAATGATGAACACTACTTTAAAAAAAAGTTTTGCATAAAAATTGACATAAAATAGTTGAACATATTGGGACAAAGAAGTAATCTGATCTTGTTAAATTGCTCAATTTAATATTGAGCTATTTAACAAGACCAGTATGGTATGTGTATTAAATGGTATATGTATTAAATCTACCATTATTTTAAACTTCTACAACTTAATTTCTACAACTTCTATTTCAAATTTAATTTATATATTTTTACTAGAGGTCGTAGTCTGAGATATTTAAAAGAAAATTAAAAGTTAGAGAGTTTTTATGTCTATTTTAACAACTAGAGGTCATAAGCTGAGAAATTCATGAGAAATTGGAAAATGTGAACCTGCTCGGTGTAGTTAAGGCAATTTATAAGTTATTCAAATTCTTTTATTTGGAATTAGCATTATTTTGTCAGTGTATGTCCAATGTCCAAACAAAAGTATGTGTATTATTTTGTCAGTGTTTTGTCATTATTTTTGTCAGTGTTTTGTCATTATTTTGTCAGTGTATGTCCAATGTCCAATGTCCAAACAAAAGCTTTAGATGCTATAATTTATATTGCATCAAGTTTTTATATCTAAAGAAACTTTTTTTTTATATAATTTTCAAAAGTTTTTAATTACTTTTAATTGTGAATCTAAAGAACACCACTTTTGAGTCTTTAGATCAATTCCGCTAAATAAATCAAATTCCGCTCAACAGCGTCAACTTAATATTAGTTGAAATTTTTTGAAAAAGTGCCTTAATCTTCTATAGATCCTAGCTCTAATTAGTTCTAGCACATATTAATTTAATATAAATGTCAAAACACAAGATTTTAATCAATTTTTAAAAAATATTAGAATTCCAAACAAAAAAGCATATTTATTTTAAATATTATTCAAATTTAAACAAGTTATTGTGATTTTAAGAGACTTTGGTCTGGGGTTTTTTGCTGCAAACATCTTTATTTTATGTTACAGCAAAATTTATCATTTCAATTTTTTTTGTCTTTTCACGAACAACAGACCTGATCATTTAACTGAAATATGTTGTAGTCAGAAAAATATTATACAGAAGCTATAATATTTTAAAATTGCCTTAATTACACCGAGTAGTATCAAGTTAATTAAAAAAATTGAAGATTTTTCAAACCTGTTTTTACAACTAGAGGCCATAATATAAGATATAAATTAAAATTCGAAGACTTTTTAAATCTATTTTAATAACTTTATTAAAACTATTTATACAAGGGATGTTGGAAACATAATAAATAATATTTATTTATATTAAGTGTGAAATAGGTTTATGAAAATAAAACCAAATTATTAGAATAATCTACATGATAAGTGAATTCTGCATCAACGATTGAAAAATCACAAAACTATTATAACTAAATTTATCATTAGTTTGAAATGGATGTCATAATGTTTGTAAAACCAGTCAACTTTCTCTTCAGTTAAAGTTAAAAAAAATCAGAAAATAACAAGAACAACAACAACAACAATTTTAAAAATTAGAAAATATTAAATTGCAAAAAACAAGGAAAACAACTATTTGTAAAACATATTTTTTTTAAATTTAAAAAAGAATTTCCTTAAAAAGTATTTTAACCTATAGAACTTGACGAAGGCAAGTCTAATTCTTTAAATATGCTATCTATTTCATTTGTTGAGCTCCCAGAATCACTAAATGCAGAGCTTCCATCAACTTTTTTTGCAGCTCGACTTGGACTGACGCCAGTCTAAAAAAATGCTAAAATTTTATATCTTAAAAATGTGTCCTTTTCCCCTAAATTTCAATAGGTTTGTATTCAACCTAATTAGTTTAGGTTTAACTTTGGGTAAAAACATTTAGATGTGAGTTTTATTTTTGTAATTTTATATGTTTTTGAAGATCAATGTTAAAATTATCTTCAAAAACATATAAAGTTATAACAATTACAATCAATTCACAAATTAAGTTAATTGATTTTGATATTTTAATAAATTTCCTGAAAAACAAAATTATGATGATAAATGATTATGAACAAAATTTATCTACAAATTTTCAAAACTTAATTAAAATGCAAAATTGTAAATTACATTATTCAACTACAATAATTATATAATATAGGAGTTCCAAATAAAAAGAGAATAAAAAATAAAAACTTTCCTCAAATTTTCTTCAAATTTTAATGGTAGCTGTCAATGAATGGTAACTATCAATGAATGGTAGCTATCAATGAATGGTAGCTATCAATGAATGGTAGCTATCAATGAATGGTAGCTATCAATGAATGGTAGCTATCAATCAATGGTAGCTATCAATGAATGGTAGCTATCAATGAATGGTAGCTATCAATCAATGGTAGCTATCAATAAATGGTAACTATCAATGAATGGTAGCTATCAATGAATGGTAGCTATCAATGAATGGTAGCTATCAATGAATGGTAGCTATCAATGAATGGTAGCTATTAATGAATGGTAGCTATCAATGAATGGTAGCTATCAATGAAAAATGAAAAACTTGAGCTATTGACTTAAAATAATTTAAAATTAACGACATTTTAAAATTCAGTCAAAAATGCCCTATATTTTCCCTCATCAAAAATTATAGAATTTTGCAGTCATGCTTTTTCACAAATAATTTAAGATCTAACAGAAAAAAATGATTTAAAACTGGTATCTGACCAATTTTGAAGATTTTGAATCCAGAGATAAAGAAAAAACAAACTCATTCAAAATTTTAGGCAATTATTATAAATTTTTAGGTGATTATTACTTGATTTAAAATAGTCAACAAAAATATATTGTTTGTTACCAAAGGCTCATCATTTTATGGCATCAGTTATTATTACTCAATAACAACTGATGCCACAAAATTACTGTAATGTCACTTGCTGTTAGAGTTATATAGTAACTTTTGTCTTTTGTTGTCCAACAAAAAAATCATTGAAATGACGGTCTACAGCAGAAAATCAAAAGTTTGCATGATTCACTGATTGAACAGCTGTCTTAGCACTCAAGCAAAATGAAAAGTCAACAGTTTATATCAAACAATGAAAAGCTTCTGATAAATGAGCTAATATTGTTGCTGTGTAAAAAACTTGATAAAAATACTTCTTATACATTTATTGCAAAATCACAATCTAAAGCATCTCAAAGTTACTCTTGATGAGGCATTAGTCCTAGCAGATTTTGTAGAGAAAAACACCTATTTGGTAAAAAACAAAAATAATATACAGAGTCATCATTGGAGCAAAAAAACGCTTGTCATCTGTAACATAAAAGAAAATTTCAGATGATTTGAACCAAGATATTAAGCTTATTGATGAAGCTATACATCAAATTCAATGTTAATTATTATAATCAATCTTTGTTCCGCAGTTATAGAAATTTATTATTTTTCTGATGAGTGTGCAGGAGAGTATACAATCTTCAAATATTTTTTACAATTTATGCTGTAAATCTGTTTGGAATTTTTTGCAGTAAGCCATGGCAAATTGTCATGTGATATAATAGGTTACACTGATAAAACACTAATTTTAAGCATAGTCTGGCCTATTGAGAATTGTTTAAATATAATAATCCACAGAAGAACATTATATAAATAAATCCAATTTAAAAAACTTAACACTAACACAATTGGAACTTTAAACTAGAATATTAGTTCAAGTGACTTTTAATTTCTTTGATTATATCAAGATCACTTGATAGGTTGATTATAATAACAAACATTGACTCAAAATCCAGCTAAGTTCAACTCTAAGTTCAATCAGCTAAGTTCAATCAGCTAAAAGTAAAAAATAATTATAGTCAATGCGACTACCTAATTCAGTTGAAATAAAATACTAAACAAAAATAGAAAAAATAATAACTAAGAAGTTACCATAATATACTGTAATATAAACAGCTCGATATTTTTAATAAAGTTTGTTAACAAAGTAAACGTACTATTTAAAGTAGAGTTTTCAGTAAGACTTATTAAGTTATTTGAATTTTCAGCCAAAACAGGTGAAACTTGTAAAGAAATAGAATTTGGGGGTGTTAGATTAAATATAATTGTTAATTTTTTAGATAGTACTTTATTTGTTGCTAACTTTTTCATATAATATTTGTTGAATTTTACAAGCTAGTTGCCGAGAAAATCCCTAAAATCGCTGGGAAAATCCCAATTTTCAAAAAAAAATTTCAAGAGGCGATTTCACAGGTATGTAATAGCATAGTTATATCAATAATGGCAGTTTTATTTCACACAAATAAATTAGAATTTCTTATGCTATTTTTTAGAATTATTACTAAACTTTAATTTGGCAAACTTTATTTGGAGAATGGGATTTTTTTACCTTTAAATTGGGAATTTTAATTTTATGAGCATTTGGGAATACCGTGTTTGACGGGACCCCACAGGGCTAGTTTACAGCCTGATATGTATATGTATATAATATCATGAAGCCAGTGAATTGAGTACACCTCAACCTGTGGCTTCACAAAATGAATATGAATGAAAAGTACTGCACATTAAGCCACACTTATTTGACAAACACATCTTTTTATTTATTTAAACAATTGCTGAATTAGTATTAGAGAAGTTGCTGAGGATGTTGGCATATCATAACTCATGAAATTCCCAATTGTCCCAATGGAAGTACTCAGAAGAGCAACAGCGAACAAATTATGCCATGTTCAATCAAATATCAAAAATACCAAATTGCAAAATGCAATATCAAATAATTTATATACCATAATGCAAGCAAACAAAATTTTTTTGGATATACCTTAACCCATTAAACTGCAAAATAATAACCAGTAATCAAGACTTTAAATGGTATATTGAAATCAATACAAGCAAATATATAACCCAAACCTCTACAAACAAATATATGCCCCTAACCTCTACAAGCAAATATATGACCCTAATCTTTACAAGCAAATATATGACCTATCCTATACATGACTAAATATATGACTAACCTCTACAAGCAAATATATGATGTATAGCAGTCAACTCTTTTTTTAAAACAATTTCCTGCACAATGTTGAGTCTTTGTTTAAAACAAAACTGGCAATCGATATTATTATTATTATTATTATTATTATTATTATTATTATTATTATTATTATTATTATTATTCATATCAATTTTCTGCAATAAAACATTTTTATATATTTTTAAATAGCAGGGGAAGCAGCAATAGCTCTGTAACTATTTTAGTCTTAGTATTAACGATTGCAGTAACTAGTGTGAGCCAGTGAGTGTGAATTTTACATTGCTTGAAAAGATTACTCCAAGATCACTTTCAAATTCTGTTCTGTTTAACTTTCGTTTATTAATATAAAAGGTGTTTTTTTGTTATTACAGCCAAAATACATGGCCATACATTTATAAACATGAAATTTCACAAGCCAGTCTTGAGTCCACTTATCAAGATTGCAAAAAAATCAGATCTCGATAAAGTAAGTTAAATCAAGATCTGATTGCAAAAAAAGAGTTGATGCACTGGAAAGTATTTCATTCAAAATTTTGGTGTCATCTCCATACTGCTTGGTTATATTTTTTAAAGTTTCAGGCAAATCATTTATAAATAGCACAAACAAGAGTGGCCTGATCACTGACCATATGGCACACCACTGGTAAATTCTGCCCAAGAAAATTTTCCCATATCACAACTTTTTGATTTCTTTCTTTAAAAAAGGCTTCATTCCATTGAATTATCAGATCAGATAATCTATAACTGTTTTTAAGGAAAAAACTTTTGTGTGACAACATGTCAAATCCAAAAAAACAACCTCAGAAGGTTTACCATTCTTTAAGGTGAATTAAATAAAATCAAGTGTTTTAAGTAGATTTGTTGAGCATAATATATTTTTAATAAAACCATGCTGCTGCTTGACTATTAATTTAAACTTACAAAGAAATGTTTTAAGTTCTAGTTATTTTACATGCAATTGAAGTGAACAATACCGGTTGGTAGTTTCCTGCTAAGATTTTTTTACACTTTTTAATGCTTTTGTAGAATCTTTGTCTGCTTGTTGATTGGATATGTAGCTGTATAGGAAGTTTGGATTCTTGGTAGCACTTTTTAGCAAACTAAAATGAAAGATTTGTCGCACTTCTTTGATCTTGTCTGCTATTTTTTTGCAAAGCATTTTATATTTAGATTTTAACACTGGGTTTTTCCATTTACATAAACAGTTTTTATCTATTAATCTATTTATTTTTTTTTATTTATAGTTTATTTATAGTTTTTATCTATTAATCTTTATTTGTTTCTAATAATAAACTTTAGGCCAGCATTTACCCAGGCTGATTTACATGGTCTGATTTTTAGAGAGTTTAAAATCTTCTAATTGGAGTGAAATGATAACAGCTTTGGTTTACTGACACACATCTTATGCCCAAAATACCTGGAAAAATTGCATGGCATTAACCAACTGATATGCTAACATCCTCAGCAACTTCTCTAATAGTAATTGAACAATTTTTAAAATATTTTTTCTTCTCTTTTATCTGCTGTTAAGGTGTAGGGGATAAAAGAGTAAAGTTTGTTATTGGCATCTTCTTGGTGGTGGACATACCCGTCTGCTACTTGAGTTACACTAAGAAACACTATATTAATTAAGATTTTAATAAACATTAAACTTGCAAATACTACGCTATTTGTAAATATTTAATGAAAATTGTTTAAAATATTTTAAACATTTAGTGACTAATTTAATAAACTTGATTTTCTTAGTTATTCTTTTTACAATAGTGTCAGCAAATTACACAAATGTGTGAAAAATTGCAGTAGTTAAGACATGTGACTTCCTATAATTTAATTTTTGGTATAAATTGAAGTTTTATAAATTTGATCATTCATTTCTGATGAGTCTTTATTGATAAAACACAGTGTTAAATGAGAAAAAATTTTGCGAAGTGATTTTCTACTAATTTATAAATATATATACATATATATATATATATATATATATATATATATATATATATATATATATATATATATATATATATATATATATATATATATATATATATATATATATATATATATTTGTGTGTGTGTGTATTTTGATCTGATGATGATCACAATATATATCAATTATGTACTATAAATTAAATATTTGAAGATCAGATTTATACATTTAAATTGGTTATATAACTTACTTTTTAAGTCAAAATATAATAATAAATTATTTACTTTATTTATAAAAATGGTAAAATCATTAAAATAAAATAAGACTTTTAATAGCGAATATAAATGGTTTTTATATTTTTAATAAGTAAGCAAAAGAAAAATAACAAATAATAAATATTTTTTGGGTGCTTTTTTTTGGACACTATATTGTTCCCAAAATTTAAATTTATTGATTTCTCTCTTATCATATAAGTTTTAGATTAATTTACTCAACTTGTAATAATAAAACAGATTTCATTTTAATAAATTTCTGGTTTTATTAACAAGTAAAAAAGTTCAACCTTTTTGTTTCTCTCTTCTTTAATTCTTCTCATTTCTTCTAATCTTTTTCTTTTGTTTTCAAGCTCAGCTTTGCGATCAGCCATGATTAATTCTTATATTTTAGAAAACAAAATTTTTCTATAAAAATGCATTTCAATATAAAACACAGCTAAATGCGATATAATTTTTAATTTTTATATTTTAGAAAACAAAGACAAAATGCGCATATTAAAAATATATAATTTAAAAAGACAACTTTAAAAAGAGAAAACAAATGGCACACATTAAAAAGCTAGGTACAATTTTTTTCTAAAGATTTAGCCTTGATTATACTTTGCATAATATTGTATATTTATAAATTATTTCTATGTTTGGAAATATTTAAAGCACTTTTTAACTTTTATTTATTTTATTTTTTACAAAAATTTTAATAATAATAATTTTTTTAATAAAAAAAAAATTATTTTATTTTTTATTGCATTAAAACTATCAATTTTAAATTAAAAATATAAAAAAGGGCATTTTTAAAAGTTTTTATTAATATATATATTTTTTTGTTTTTTTATTAAATTCTAATTTTTTTAAATCTGTATACAATTTCACTTTTTTTAAGTTCCAGGTTGACCTTTACTTTAAATTTCTTATTTTGTTATTTAAATTTTTATTTTAAATTTTATTATTTAGCTATTTTAGACTTGGTTATTTTAAAATTTTATTAAGAGTAAAAATATTTCTTATAAAATAAATTACCTAAATAAATTTATTTGTTTATAAATATGCACAAATAAATGGTAAAGATACATACATACATACAAGATAATAACTTTTTAAATATTTTTTTAATATGTTGCAGATTTTTTTATTTATAAATCCAATATAATTAATAAATATATACAAACAAACAAAAGTTGTGATACACAATATTATGTCTAACAACAGTAGATGTAACAACGAAAAGTAACAACAGTAGAGTCTAACATGTTTATATTAAAGTTTGAAAAAGTATTAACACTTTGTCAGACTTTAACTTTAAGTCTTGAAGATTTTAAGATTTCAATTTTAATCTCGTATTTTGTGAATTGATGTATATACTTATACGTATAACTATAATATAATTATGACGAAAAAACTAAATTGTGAAAAGTTGTTAAAATTAAAAGGCTTTTTAAAACTTTGTATAATAATTATAAAATTATAATAATTTGTATTTTCGTCACTTTGTAAAATATTTTTTATGTTTTTTTTTTTAGTATGATTATATATTTCCTTATTGCACAAATAGAACAACAGTTTGATTTAAGTTAAACTGTTTGGTTTGATTTAAACAGCCATTTTAATCTAAATCACTGTTTATCAATAAAGTAAAGATCTAGCGAATGTCGTTTGATAGTACTAAATTAGTCCACAACTAATTGGTGTTATACATATTTCCTTCGTAGTCATTATTATTCAAATTTGTAATAGACTTGTTTATTTACATAAAACACTTATTGTCGTTTTTATTCATTAAACGCACGTCTAAAGAGAAACTTATTTCGATTTTATCTTTTTGTAGATTAGTTTGGTAGTGCATTAATCGCGCTTAATCTGTCAACAAAGTGTTTCTTGTCAAATTTTTGTTTTTGAGTGCTTTTACTGTCTCATTTTAGTTTTTTTTTTAATGTTTAATATCAGAACGTGGATAAATTGTCATTGTTTATAATTTGTATATTTAATCTTAATATAGGGGACAGTGGGGAGAAGTGGGACGCGGGAGAAGTGATACAGCCTGAAATTTCTAATTAGGAGTGGTGCCTAAATACTGTAAACAATTAAATTTCTTCCCCTCTATTTAGCAGAAATTCCCCTCTATTTAGCAGAAATTGCTTTGCCCTGCGTGCGCTAAAAGCTCTAATTTTGAAATGTACCTTAAAAAAGTGTTTATGTTTTGGTGAAGTGGGACAGAAAAAGAGATATTTATGCCCAGCTTCTTCCCTTAGCCATTTTATTATTTCTATTGGTGAAAGCTCTTGAATACTTTTTATGTCGGTCAGGTGATTTTATGATTTTATCAGTTTCTAATTTGCGTTAAGATGTTGTTTTAAATTTATTTGTTTCTTTTCTACTCACACTTGACCCACTTTACCCCAAAGGCATGGTTTCTCTAAAAGCTAAAGTTTATATACTTAGTTATAATTGGCTGGAAACTAAGGGTATTGAATCGATGCCTAAAAAGAAGATTTATTTGTAAAAACTTGTTTAGTTCAGTTTACACATCAAATAAAAAAAATATTTAAATTACCCTTTAAAAAAATTTACGTGTCCCACTTCTCCCCACTCTCCCTTAATCATACTAGTTTGGGCCAGAGGCGGATCCGTGGGGAAGTGGCGCGTTGGGGCAATCCACTCCCTCTTAGATATTTGAAAGCAATTATTTATTTTCAATTATATAAGAGCGAGTGGATCTATATATTTAACTCAGCGTTTTGTTTGAAAATGTAAGAAGTAAATTAGACAGGATGTTTAAAAATAAAATGAAACTTTAAGCATTTGACACTGTTGATCATTCTATTCTTCTAAGTAAACTGGAATACTATGGTATTAGAGGAATTTCTCTCCAATGTAAACTCATATCTTTATAATAGGTTTCAATTTGTATCTATTAACGGTAACACATCTTCTTTAGTAAACTGCACTACAGGTGTACCTCAAGGCTCTGTATTAGGACCATTACTTTTCCTTGTTTTCATTAACAACCTTAATTTATCATTAAAATATACAACTTCTACCATTTTGCTGATGACACTAACTTACTTTTAATTAACAAATCATTAAAAAATAAACAAATATATTAATCATGATCTATCTAATCTAATTCAATGGCTTCGATCTAACAAACTGTCTCTGAATACTAGTAAAACTGAAATTATCATCTTTAAATCAAATCAATCTAAAATCAGTAAACACCTAAATTTTAGGCTGAGTGGTCAAAAAATCAATCCAGTTATGTACCTAAAATATCTTGGAATCAAAATTGACTCAAATTTAACTTTTTCTCAACATCTTAAGGACTTGTCAATAAAACTATGTAGATCGAATGGGATGTTAGCTAAAATTTGTCAATTTTGAAACTCTTATCAATATATACCATGCCATTTTTGGATCACATCTTAGGTATGCGTGTCAAGTTTGGGGACAAATCCGCACCCAAGAAATTTTAAGATTATCCAACTTACAAAACAAAAGCATTAAAAATAATATATTTTCAGCATTATCAATCTAACTCCGATCATCTTTATTTTTTACCCAAAATACTCAAAATTGATGATCTAGTTCAACTATTAAATTGCCATTTTGTCTTTAATTATAAACAAAAATGTCTACCCAGCACATTTAGAATTTTTTTTTACTGTTAGAGAAAGCTGTCGCTATCATCTACGATCTGCTAATAGCTATAATCTTCATGTACCAAATCATTCTTCTGTTAAATATGGTATAAAATCCATAAAATACCAAAGTGTAAAATCATGGAACAGTATTAAAATCAATTGACTTAATTACTTATTTCAAAAACTATCTTTTTAACTATTTTTTAGCAAGATATTATACCTGAAGACTCTAAAATATGTTGTTATGCTTTTATTATTACTACTCTCTTGATACCTACTAGTTTTATTATTAACTTTTTGTTCTCATATTTTTATTGTTATTATTAGTATTGATATTCATAATATTCTTCTATCTTTATTAGTAAATTGTTATTTTTATTTATAACATATTAAGTAATATTATTGCTTTTTTTATTTTTTTTTTTAAGTTTATTTACTACTTATACTATGTAATTGTTATTATCACTATTATTGCTATTATCTAATATTGATTGTATAATATTTTTATTATTATTGTTATTATTGTTACTAATAATATTCCTCTTCATCGTCATCTTATTGTTATTGTTAATATTATTTCTATAATTATTATTAATACTTTTATTATTGTTATTATGATCACTTTTATTGTAATGTTGCAGGTTTTTACTTTAGATTAGTACTTGTACTATTTGTAAAAGTCCTTGAAATTGTACAACTTATTTCAGAATATATTGAATTGAAATTGAAAATTGAAATTGAAATTAATAAAACAGCAAAATACGGATTTTAAATCGGGCTATTGGAAAAACAATATATTACGTCATTTTAATGACAAATCAAAATACATTTTGTGAAAATTTATCATTTAGTATCAATCATTTTGTACAAAATGTATGATTGATATTAAATGATAAATTTTCACAAAATGTATTATGATTTGTGTGCAGCCCCCAATATATATATATGTATGTAAAATTATACTCAGCTTTCTCGATTAATGGGTTTGAATCCACAATTAAAGTTATTTTATATATATATATATATATATATATATATATATATATATATATATATATATATATATATATATATATATATATATATATATATATATATATATAATAACTTTAATTGTGGATTCAAACCCATTAATCGAGACAAGCTATAATTTTGAATATACGATGAAAATCAATAATTCGCGATACCCAATACACCATACTAATTTCTTTGAAAAATTGTTTTTTACATAATGTGATTGAAAATATGTAAATATCTTCAATTGACTCTCAATATGTCGACGATCTCAAACTTTATTTCCGGTCCTTTACGCACTCGTTTGGGTAAAAACTCTCTCAATATCTCGAACTCTCGAATTCTCAAACTTTTTTCGTGGTCTCCTGAGAGTTCGAGATATCGAAAGTCAACTGTGTTTTGACTTTTAAGCAGTTGTTATACGAATACTCCACTGTGTGACGCAATATTTTGACAAAAAGTTTTATATAAAAGTCATTTGCGTCAAAAGTCAATTGTTTTATATCAAAGTCAAATGCGGTAGTGGTGTAGTGGTAGAGCGCTCGCTTCATTAACGAGTGGTTCCGAGTTCGATCCCCACCACGTCCCTGGTAGTACCGCGCTCAACTCGTTTCTCCGCGCAGCGGCCTTGCTCGTCAAGGTTCGTGTTTCGGAGTTATAGAGTTGAGAGAGGGTTATAACCACAAATAAGTAGAGTAGCCTCCTCGTCTGTAGTGGCCTTCTCTCCTTGAGGAGGTGAATTAAAATAAAATTAAAAAAAAAAAAAAAAAAATTTCAAATAGTTTAAACCTTATTTTTAAACTTATTTTAAGTAAACGCCAGTAAATCCCAAAACAATAAAATAACAAAATATCGAAAATATATATATATATATATATATATATATTTTATTATATTAAGAAGATAGTTTGATGAATAAAAACCTATGTAGAAAACTACAATGACTGGCTTTTTTCTCAATGGGAAAAAACAAAAAAGGAATTGCTTTTTTCTTAATGGAAAAAAACAAAAAAAACTAAAGTGTAAATAATTAATTTTAGTATTATTAAAGAAAAAGAATCAAAGTTAATAAAAAAGAAAAAAAAGAATAAGTGAAAAGCAAGAATAGGTTTTGAAAGAAAATTGAATAAATAAACAAAGTTAGAAATTAGAACTTATGGAGTGAACAACTCAAAAGTTCGAATTTTAAAAAATTAATAAATTAAAACCCATTAAATGACATATCAAGACGCAGTGGTAGATTAAGACTTCTTGGGGCCCGGGGCTATTTTTGTTTTTGGAGGCCTTTTTATGGGCCAGAGCCTAAAAATGACTAAAAAAAATAAAATAAAAATTTGGGGGCCCCTAAATTTGCGGGGCCTGGGGCTATAGCCCCCCTTGATCCGGCACTGTCAAGGCGAACGCAACCAACTTTTTTTTAAGTTTTTTTTAAATTTATTCATTTATTTTTTTTTTAAATCTTATTTTTTCTGTAAAATGTATTTTAAATTAATCAAACCATTTAAAAAATAAATAGTAATTGTGAACTAATATAAACTTAATAATTTAAAATGTTTATTGTCTTAGGCGTTCGCGTTAGTTACGATATCTTATAAAAGCATCAAAAAAATATATTAACCATTCCTCGAAGAATAAATGTATATATATATATATATATATATATATATATATATATATATATATATATATATATATATCAATATATATATATATATCAATATATATATATATATCAATATATATATGTATATATATATATATATATATATATATATATATATATATATATATATATATATATATATATATATATATATATATATATATATATATATATATATATATATATCAATATATATATATCAATATATATATATCAATATATATATCAATATATATTGAGGATTATAAAAACCGCCAACACCCTGTAGCTCCTTACTCAATTTTTGATCCCACACCCATCTCCTCCTCATCCTTACTACCGCCACAATGCTAAACTACGACTGATTTCCATAATTTTTGGGTTTAAAAACTTTTAATTATTATATAAAAAGTTTTTTTCATTTTTTTTTTTAGATTATTTTTTTTTTTTTTAATAAATTACCAATAGTAATCAGTTTCAGAATTAAGTATGTTATTTTTTCTTATTCAAGTAGTATATTAAACGGACTTAAATGGTATAACAGTTTATTTTTCAACATACTGTACCTGAATAATTATTTTTGAATACTATCCTGGGAACCTTTTGTTTTTTACCTTTTTAAGTTACACTTTATTAAGTTTTAAATTAATATCTGATTCAAGTCTTAGATTCATAACTCGATCTATAATTTGCAATTATTCTTATATTAAAAATATTAGGTAAACTGTTTAATTATTTTATTGTTTAACAATTAAATCTCTTGTTTACACATGCGCAAAAATTCTATTGACTTATGAGTAACATCCACAGTTGTACGTATTCATGTTTCACTAACATCGCACAGTTGTACACTCGTAATATATAAAAATCTTCATTAGCTATTTTTTTGGTAGATACAGTTATGACTTATAGATACAGTTGCTGATTAATCCTCACCCTTGGTTCTGGTGAAACTTTATTCCGTTTAAAACATCCAAACAATCTTATTTGATATAAATGAGCTTTAAGCGGTTTATTGAAATAAAAATTGACAAATGCTCCTAATATCGAAGAAGTTGATTCAAACCATGCAGCAAGGTTAAATAAAGCAGGAGGAATTTTGGCACCCAACATTGTTATAAAAGATACAAAGATATAAGGAGTCCAAGTAACAAAGTAGCTTACTGTTAAACAGGAAAAGATTTTCAAGTAAATATTAGCTAAAATATCTGGAAATTGGGAGCTGCAATACCTTTTCCTTAAAATATTTTCTTTGTGTTGAATGACAGTAACATGTGTTCTTTTTAAAACGCATATCAATATAGCCCCCGGTAACACGTAGCTAAATACTAACACCACAACAATATAAGTTAAAGAATTAGAATTTAATAATTTCCAGTCTAGTGAACATCGTTCTTTATTTAAGTCATCTTCATAACTAGACCAACCCATCACAGGTAAAAAGGCCCATAGAAATCCATATAGATAACAAAAAAATATTAACGCGAATTTTACCAATATTTTTTCACAGTTATCTAAGTACAAAGCATAGTTTTTAAGCGCTATAATTCTGACAAAAGATAACACAACCATATGAATAACCCTTGCAATAGTTACAAAATGTACCACAGCTGCAGCTTCAACACATCCCCAGCTATTTACCAAAGGATATTCTTTGTGCAATACGCTAATTTTGGGTATTAATCTAGCTGATGTTTGCAGTATGTCCAAAATTGAAATACTACTGATAAAAAGTTGAGGAAGCCTGCGAGATTTTTTAGAGTTGAAAATCAAAATGTAAAATAAAGTAGAGTTCATTGAAGTCGATAAAATCACCATTAATACCGCATATAATAGTGAAAACGTTGCATAAATATCAACCATTGTTGTTAGTAAAGAACCAAGAAATTTTTTCCGTTTACTTTTTTTTTGTTTTAATTCTTTTTAATTAAAAAACTCTCGATTGTAATTAAAACAATTAAAACATATGGAATATTTATTTGGTGTTTTATAGTTTTATGTCTATTTTTATATTCTTTTAATTAAATTTTGTTGACGAACTGAATAATTTATAGTTCCCATTTACGTTTTCAATAATTCATCAAATAATATTTTGAAGTCAATAAAAATAATTTTCCTTTAGGTAGTACAACACAAAAAAAATTTTTTGGCAGTTTTTTATTTTAGTGATTAGATCCTTTTAGAAAATGTTTTTTACTTATTTATTTAAAAACATTTTTTGCAGTGATTTAGTTAACTTAATAAATGTACAGTTTTTTTTGTTTGTTTATTTTTTTATTTTTTTGCGTGATAGATATTTTTCATTTTTTATAGAAAAAAATTAAAAATACAACAGCTTGATAATATTTAAACACATCAAACTGCTAAATAATTATTATAGATAATAATTACAGAAAATAAACCTTATTCATAAACTTGTCAAGTATGGTGAGGTACAAAAAACTTTCACATCATTTTCCGACCAAGTTTTACAAAGTTGCACAGTGACCACCAGGTGCACAACCAGATGATGATGCACAGAAAACCAGGTGGCAGACAAATCCGTATAATAAAAGTTCATTAAACATTAACCATATATAAATATTTCGGTGGCGCATTACTTATATTCTTGTTTTCAACATTATTTTGAATATAGCAATTAATTACATTTGTTTTTATTTTTTTAAGTTTTATAAGTATTATTTCTTTACAAAGTAAATAGTTAGTTGAAAAGAAAAAAAATATTGTAAAGATTCCAGTCCCAGTTGTTACACACAGTGGCGGTCTGGAATATGTAAAAACGGTGGCCCCTTTAAATATGTGTATATATATATATATATATATATATATATATATATATATATATATATATATATATATATATATATATATATATATATATATATATATATATATATATATATTATATATATATATATATATATATAATTATTATAATCAATTATTAAGTTCAACAGTTTGTAGTTAAGTGCGAAATTCTCTAAATAAATAGTTTAACTGTAAAACTATTTTTATGCAAAACTCTCCAATGTAAAAATAGTTTTAATCTAAATCTATTTTCATGTAAAACTCTTTTTCGACAATCAATAATGATTGTAAAACTTTTATAATCACTATTAATTTTCAAAGTAGAGTTTTAAATATAATTGTCATAACACGGTTGGCACAGATCCTTATAATCCCTACTTAGCTGTCCCAAGAACGCCACTTATACGGAAAGTTAGCGTACACGTCAAGGTACCCGTGATGCAAATTTTGAAATCATTTAATTATGTCCGCGGAAAATAATTTAATTTGAATGTTCAAATTAAGTCAAATTTTGACATCAGAGTGTGCCAATAAAAACACTTGTAGAATTTGAACCACTCAATATAATTTGATAAAAATTAATTTTGCGAAATTTTGGCTGAAATTTTGTCCAAACTCTGGACAAAATTTCAGCCTGATTGGATGACTGGTGTAGGATTTATTGCAGTTTTAGTTGAAGTTTTGTCAGCTTTTTGCTACTTATACCTCAAAGCGTTACCGATTACTTTGAAATTCAGTCACTATTTTTAAAATAACGGTTACACGTTCTTCTATGTAATACCAACAATTTTTGTTATAATTATTTTATCGGTACATGTAGAGTTTTCAACAAAACAAGAAGGGAAAGAAATTGCACTCCTTCCTTTGTTTGATTTTAAGTCAATACAAGTGAGACCTGAAACAAGAGGCACGATGTGTTGTTGCCTAATATGCCGAATTGGTTGTTCAAAGTTGCAAAAAAAACTTCGTCTTATAGAGCAAACCACTATTGAGAAAAAACCAAAGGTGAGTTGTAGCAAATGCCTCTGCCCTTTAGGAAAAGGTTTGCCCACCAATGCTCTCAAATAATCTTAAGGGAAAGCCTTCAATCTTTAGCAGCAAAAGATGCAAAATTATCCAAACAAATTGCATTTCTATTATTTCCAATAAAGAATCTCCGGAAGGAACTACTCTACTGGCTAAAGCATCCTGGGGGCCTCCACTTACAGTTGCCCTTGGTAAATATTATACTTAAATAATTTACATATATTTATTTAACTATAAACAAAGCATCAAGCAGCATGATGGTAGAGAGAAATTTCTACATGAATTTTCTAAGACTAAGTCAACAATTGAGCGATTTTTTCATCTGCAGCGACTTAAAAATCACAGACGAAAAAACTGATTCTTGTACAGTTCATGTCGTTGCTCACTGCAATGATTTATCAAGCCTTGTGAATCATGTTATTCAGTCCCGCAAAATTTCTGGTCGCTGTTTTGTTAAGCTTGGAATTGATGGTGGCAAAGATTTTCTTAAGTTTTGCCTTAGCATTGTTGATACTGCGTTAAGGGATGAAGCCAGCTCACCGCACCAACAATAACCTCTCACTAAAAGGGCTGGTAAAGACACTGGAGTCAAGAGACAAGTTATTGTTGGGGTTTCAGAAGATTTGCCAGAAATACACTCCAATATTGAACAAATCTGGTCACTGAATAATGCAAATGGAGTTAAACTAATTTTGGCTTGTGATATAAAAGTTGCAAAATTTGTGTCTTCAAACTCATTCAAGTACACACCCTTGCACCTGGTGTGACGTCAAATCCAATTGTCTTGCCAAATGTGGAAACTTGCGAACACTGGGATCAATTAATTCAAGCCTCGAGTCTTTTCAGCAATCTGGCAGGGTTGTTGCTAATGCAAAACTGTTTGGCAATGTCATTCGAAAGCCAATCATCTGCAGGCATGTCAATGTTCTGATTTTGGTTCCCAATATTGTGTGCATAATTGAAGCATTCAAAAGCTTCAATTTAGTTGTCAAGGCTTGCTTTAGATACATCCTTCAGCCGGATTTTGCTGAAAAAATTGAAAATTTAAAAAAGGGTTGATAATGATAACTGGTGATAACTGGTGCAAGCGTAACACTCAAAATTCACGCCGTTTTCTACTACATTAAGGATTTCATCAGTCACAAAGGATCCTCCTTGGGGCCCTATAGTGAAAAAACTGTCAAAACTTCTCATCAAGATTTTTATCAACATTGGTCAATGTATAAGTGAAATAATAATCATTCAGAGTACAAAGAAAGGTTGTTGCGCTGCATAACTGATCTAAACAGTAAGCATTTTTAAAGAACATCATTTGAGTTATTAGAAAGTAGGCTGCTGAAATTCATACTTTACGGCGTATAATGAATACTTTCATCATCTCTTAAAGTAGTATTATAGAGCATTTTTATTAAAAGAGTACATTGAGCTATTTATTAATAATCTTTTGGTGGAGAAAATCAAAAAAACATTTCTTAAAATGTAATTAGATATTTGATGGTAATACAATGTAATAAATAGGGTTTAAATAGTTTTCACTTCATTTTAAAAGTAAATGTATTTAACGAGGTCAATACAAAATATTTTAGGAGATCTACTTTTTTTTTTGTTTCACTAACTGGTAGTACTTTGACCAGGTTTTGCACTTTTTTTTAACTTTTTTTTTGGCAGCAGTTTATACCTTAGGAAATGTCGATATATTCACACTATGCATACATGGCCGTCAAGGTAGCCATAGCCTGCCCATTTTTTTTTTTTGCAAGGACCTTTTGTTTAGAAATATAGACAATTATTTTAGAAATTATGAATTTTATTTTAGAAATTGAGGGGTTGACCCCCTCCACTTTGAAGGCCGTGTCGACACTATTAGTATAAGACTATTTAAATCACGCTTTAAGTAGAAAATTACTATTTTGGTCTATAAAATGAAAACTTTACATGTACCAATAAAATAATTATAACAAAAATTATTGGTATTACATAGAAGAACACTCATGTAACCGTTATTTATAAAAAAATAGTGACCGAATTTCAAAGTAATCGGTAACGCTTTGAGGTATAAGTAGCAAAAAACTGAAAAAACTTCAACTAAAACTGCAATAAATCCTACACCAGTCATCCAATCAGGCTTAAATTTTGTCCAGAGTTTGGTGTGACTGTTGGCTACATTTGCACTAATTTTTATCAAATTATATTGAGTGGTTCAAATTCTACAAGTGTTTTTATTGACGCACTCTGATGTCAAAATTTGACTTAATTTGAATATTCAAATTAAATTATTTTCCGCGGACATAATTAAATGATTTCAAAGTTTGGATCACGGGTACCTTGATGTGTACGCTAACTTTCCGTATAAGTGGCGTTCTTGGGATAGCTAGGTAGGCATTATAAAAATCCGTGCTAACCGTGATAAGGGAATTGCCAAGGTTTTGCAATTGTTAATAATATCTGATACAAGTATAATCGATGATTTTCCTAGGGAAATTTGACTTTGTAACTATTATTGAAATTGCGGGGCTTGAATTAATTGATTAAAAAATGAATTAAATATTCACCTCAAAATTAAAAAAATAATAATTCAATACCAAAACACACTTGATCAACCAGTTTACTGAAGTGATGTTAGTCTGCTTTGGAGGTTGGTATTTTAGTTAGTATTGATAATTGTAAATTATGAAAAATATTTAGTCAACATCCGCGCTCGAAATAATTATTTAAAGGTTACCGATTATACTAATTGGCTGAAATGATAAGATTTAAAAGGTAAAGGATAAAATAATTTTCCGGACGATCAAGTTTTCTGTAACTTTTTATAAGGATAACTGTTTATGTAACACATAAATAACACTTTTTGTGTTAGTCATCTTAAAGCACCTCAGCGTAGTTTAACTACGCTGATTTCCGATTTAAGTTTTAATAAATTGCCCTAATAGGGCAAATAAGTAAAACTTAAATCGAAAATTTTAGCAAAATCCTAAACTTCGACAATCTATAACTTAGGATGAATAAAATACATGAAAAGGTATTTTTTAATGCAACTACTTTTGCTTGTGTTTAAAGAAAAAAATATGTAT